TACTAAAATGCCTATATGCATGTCAAAGTCTCAGATCCTTTTTAGCTCAAAAAGAAAAAGATGATTGACATGTGTTGATAACATTGTTATAGTTAGGGCTTTTGTGTGTGATAATGGGTCAGTGTGTATGGCTTGTTAACCGGAAGTTTGGTGGTTTGAGGCCACCGAAGGACGGCTGTGGACAGGATTCCTACATTGCGAGAGGTTGAACTAGACAACCCTCAGAGTCCCTTCCAACTCTATATTCTATTATTCCTTGATTCTGCAATGGACCAGTCCACCATTTTCCATGGTTGAGTTGCCTGTTTATTATTTGTTTATAAAATTAATATTCCACCCCTCATCACATGTAAGCTCAGACTAGGTCAATACAATTTACTGAATAAACAATAAAAGGGACAATATAATTTACTTCAAAATGCAACCATTCCCAACCAATTAACTCTCAGGCAAATAATGATCCTTTCAGAAGATCTAACAGAAGGGGAGAGTCTTCAGTTGATCCTGAAAAATAGTCAAAGTTGGTTCCGCCTTCAGTGATGAGGGTATTTCAGAACTGTGGCATTATCACTAAGAAAGCCTTCCAGGCAGCCACATCTCCTCTTCTGTATCCAGGGAATTATCCTTGTATACACCTGTATTTTCCCTTCTCATACCAGCACTTCACATTAGACAACCTGCATGTATGTGTGACAGAAGAGCTAGCAGAAGTGCAATTGGCAGTGGGTGAGTGGGGTGGAATATTGGATACAGTTAGAAGGAATGACTAAGTGTTGGTTGGGAAACGACAGCCATAGTGGGGAGAGTGGGGCTGTGGGAGACAGAGAGGCTGAGGGGATATGAGGCAAGAGGGATAATGAAAGCATCTGTGAGAGTTAAGATAGCTGTTATGGATATGAGAAGTGTGGAGGGAAAATAGATCTTACCCACGTGTGGGTAATTAACAAAAGAATCATCTGGGGGCCTAGATTCAAAGCGTGGGGCTTTGCACACTCTCCAGTGGGACAGAGCCCCAAGCAGAGTTAAAAGCACACTCAAAATTAAGCAGCAGTTTAGCATGGAATATTGGCTATTAGACCCTTTTCATATCATGATTAATTTCTTACAGCGCTCTCTACCCCTCTTGCAATGAACAGATCACAAACTGTACAGTTTAAAATGCTTTATTTACTAAATCCAAAGGTCTGGTTCATGCATTGTTCCATGCATCAGCAAGGAGAACACAGGTAGAATACTCTTGGGTGTAAACTGCAGAGCATAGTTTCAAACTTGCGGTTCAAACATTGGAGCAAGTTCAGGCATATCTGTCCTGGTCAGTTACATGGTGTGGAGAGAGTGTGAGAGGAAGAGAAGTAGCTTCACTTCCTCCCTCATGAAGGTAAGGGGGTGTGACCTAACTGAGTCTAGGAATAGACCTCTCTGGTCTTAACCCCTTCATTCACATATTCAAGCACATAGTTACGTTTGACTGCAATTTCTCACAAGTAGGGCAGTCAAGTATGTTATGTCGGAACACCAGAGCAACTCACTATAGTTTCTTAATTAAGAACAAGTTTGCGTTTTAACCATCAATGTTCTGGTCTGGCTGGATTCCTTTGGGTGGATTCCAAAGAAAATAATCTCACACCACTTATCTAGTGTAGATGTAGGAATATAAAGGGAGAGTCCTACTGCTCTCTACATGGCAGTAGGTGGTTGCTGGCACCCGTCTGTCTCAAGAGACAATGGAAGAGTGTGCTATCAGCAGTAAAGTCAATCTCTTTTCTTTTCTTTTCTGCCTAGTGCAGTAGACCGGTCCACTTGTCAAGTGCTTCTTTGAGCTCCCAGATCCCACTGAAGCAGGAAGACAGTGGCAGGTCAGCACCTTATTGACTGGGGTAGCTGACCAGTGAGGCACAATGATCTCTCCCATCATCAAAATCTACCGTATGCCTATCAGGTTGAGCTTATAACTTGTAACTGTTGCTTCCCATGTTGTTTTTGCTGCATTAGCAGCACTGGATGACCTCTCCTGGGGCCCAAGACTGGGCAGTTTGCCACCTTAGGGACTCCACTCTGGATTTGTGCAGGGTTTAGTCAATGGCCTTTTCTTCTCCAGAAGATGTTCTGCAAGGCAGCAAAGAGAGATTATTCCTCAGGGTTTACTCCTGAAGCCTCTCTCACAGATAAGTATAGCCACAGGGCAGTGGCTAGATTTTCCTAGATGGGCTATCTTCCCAGGTTGATGAGGCCCACCTGCCCCTCATTTCCCTCTACAGCACATTAAGTTGTTAATTTCCCTCCTTGGTATTATGTTGCTATAAATGCAGCACAGTCTACAAGCATTACCAGCAACAGAAAGAAACTGCTTTTCTTCAGTATTGTTTATTCAGTATCACAGTAAAAGTTCTACTGAATTATGAAATTATTTGTCTGCAAAATTTCAAACATTTCAACAGTAACAGGCATTTTATTTCAGTTGTCTGCAGTAGGTCACTTGATAGTGCACTGACCTCTAGAGGCTATTCTACAGAATAGAAAAAGAGCGGGGAAACCCAACAGACGATTTATGGCCTCTGTTGTGAATTTTTAACCACCACTTTGCTTACTTTCAAGCCTGGCAAGTTTCTAACAGCACACTGGCTATTCTCCATGTTTCCCCTCAACACCACCAGGTGAAAACTCAAGGTCACATCCTGCTTCCCTGATATTAGACCCCTTTTTTCCCAATTTCCCAAGAAAACAGAAAACTATTGACAGAGCAAGTCTGTCATGTTCTCTCTCTAAAAGTTTCAAACTGGGAAAATAGGTGTAATCATAAGAAGCTATGATGGTACAACCACCCAAAGAGCTCGGTGGTGTGGGTGGTATCCAAATGTAATAAATAAAACAGTGGTACCTCAGGTTAAGTACTTAATTCATTACAGAGGTCCGTAATTAACCTGAAACTGTTCTTAACCTGAAGCACCACTTTAGCTAATGGGGCCTCCTGCTGCCGCCGTGCCGCCAGAGCCCGATTTCTGTTCTTATCCTGAAGCAAAGTTCTTAACCTGAAGCACTATTTCTGGGTTAGCGGAGTGTGTAACCTGAAGCGTATATAACCCGAGGTACCACTGTATAGAACTAAACCATCAACAGAGTGTTATTAGTTTGTGCATGAGCTGCCAACTGGTGAAAGCAGCTTGTGCAGTCCCTCCTTCTTGCCAGTCGAGGAAGCAAGGAAGGAGCAGAAAACTACAAATTGGCTTAGCAGTTCATCCAGATATTTTGAGGGAAATCTGGAACTCAGGAGAGTAGCTGAGGTATTGGGTCGGTACCGCCCAGAAACAGGCTGTGGGGAATGTATTAGCACGTTTGCTCAGAAACATCTTTTCAATTGGGCATATCTAGTTAGTAAATTGCATTTGGAATTGAGGCCGTATTATGACATTCTTTCCCTAGGGAAATCCAGCAGGCCTTGTTCTCTTGAAATCCGAGGTTGAGAACAGTTCTATCTTATAATCCTTTGGCACCATACTCTTCCTGTTTACCCCTTCAGAGTTTCTCGATTGTGGCTGAACTGAATTTTTATCATGGCAACCTTGCGTAAAAGAAAAACTCACACACCGTTTTGAGGTCGTACGGCTGAGTAGCAGCCTGCAAGTTTAATTGTTAATAAATAATATGCTACCAGTTCCCTGAAGAATCCCTCCATATGTAAAACTACTGGAGGAAAAAGAGTAAACATAAATTATTGCCTTATATTGATAGTTTACAGTTAGTTTCATAAAGACAAAAGTGTACTTGCTTGAAAAGAGGCACACAAATATTTAGCCAATGATTATTCAGAATTTAAAACTTTAGCCAAATGATTTGTATGCTCATAGATCTATAGTTATGACACATAAATAAAGATGCAATTAAAAACTATTATTTCAGCAAAGCATTATTTTTAACTTCTAACTGTAGTTAGCATTTGAGAAATTCACATTTGATTTCAAATTCATTATTTGCTTTCCCTGGCCTATAAGATTACACCCTGCTTTATGTGTTTAAATCCCCTAAGTCCTGTTCAATTTGCTTTTATATTGCTGTTATATTGGTTTTAGGCTGCATTTTTCTTAATGATATTGGGTTTGAAAGAAAAAATGGGATGGGGAGGGGTGAGGAATGCACTGCTGAGAGAGTTTGGATGGAATTCAATGCCGTGCTTTTCCAGTCATTCTGTCTGCACAAGTATTTCACCTCTCTAGACAGAATGATACCCTCACCTCTCCTCTCCCCCCAGATGCGCTGTTCTGGATGTTCTCCCGCCATCTTCTTCAAAATCAATTTGTGAGGGTTACGGGCACAGGAAGGAGTGGGGGAACCCATTTCTGCAAGTCCTTGTGCTGGACTTCCACTGACAGGAATGCTTAGGTGACTCCCACCCGTTAAAAATATCCAGCAGGCTATAATTATATCTAAATGCATACATACATTTAAACCAGTGCTTAAGATTATATAGTGCAATTACAGTGGTACCTCGGGTAAAAACTTAATTCATTCCGGAGGTCCGTTCTTAACCCAAAACCGTTCTTAACCTGAGGCGTGCTTTCGCTAATGGGGCCTCCCACTGCCACCGCACTGCTAGCACGCGATTTCTGTTCTCATCCTGAGGTAAAGTTCTCAACCCAAGGTACTACTTATGGGTTAGCGGAGTTTGTAACCCGAGGTGTTTGTAACCCGAAGTGTTTGTAACCCAAGGTACCACTGTACATAACAGGAGGCACAGGGAAGTCCTGAGTAACAGTTAAGTCAAATTCTTTTAGGTTTCCAGAGCAAATGGTTTGCAAACTACTGGGCTACATACATTTTCAAAGTGCAGTAAGACTATTATTATATTATATTATATTATATTATATTATATTATATTATATTATAGCTGAGGTAGCCAGTGAAGATAAACTAATTTGTACAAAACATAGCACATTATCTCATTCATATATATACGAAAGCAAATATATATATATATATATATATATATATGATTAACTTAATGCAAAAGCTATGCATCTATCATTTCTGGATAGGTTTCCCCATAATGCCTATTTTGTTTGGTGTCCTTTTCTCTCTACTGCTCTTCGCAAAGCGTGGAGGATCGAATCTTCATTATTCTGAATATTGTAGCTGGTCAATCCCACCAGTTTATCAAAATCCTCCTCTGTATATGTAAAGCTTTGGAGTCCATATGGAGAACAAGGACCAGTCACATTAACGTCACCCTGCTTCAGTTCAGAAGGGCTGCGTTCCACACCTGCAAAACAAAGGTCATTATCACATGACTGACACTACTCTCTGCATGTGCTGTCTTCTTATTTGCAAAAGCTGATCAGTGGCACTTTTGAAATGAGATCCAATGAAGATGCTATCTCTGCAATGTGTGAATTACGGGAAAAGTACCCATCCAAAATGGGAAGGTATTTGCATGAACAGGTAAAGGTAAAGGGACCCCTGACCATTAGGTCCAGTTGTGACCGACTCTGGGGTTGCGGCGCTCATCTCGCTTTATTGGCCGAGGGAGCCGGCGTACAGCTTCCGGGTCATGTGGCCAGCATGACTAAGCCGCTTCTGGTGAACCAGAGCAGCGCATGGAAATGCCGTTTACCTTCCCGCCAGAGCGGTCCCTATTTATCTACTTGCACCCGGGGGTGCTTTCGAATTGCTAGGTTGGCAGGAGCAAAGGGAGCTCACCCCGTGGCAGGGATTCGAACCGCCGACCTTCTGATCGGCAAGTCCTAGGCTCTGTGGTTTAACCCACAGCGCCACCCGCGTCCCTTCACCCATCCAAAACGGGAAGGTATTTGCATGAACCCCAATGTTAATATGGTGGCATTCGCTGTGCCAGCAAAACAACATATTGGGGGCTGGGGACCTTGTTTGGGCGAAAAGGTGGTGTAAATGAGAAATGGATGCCTGCCAAGGTATCACTGCTAAACCCACCACAAAGGTTCCCAAAGTGAAGGCGATGACTTTGGCATGACTTCACCCGATTTTTTATGTGATCTGTCAAAACTCAGACATTACACTATCCATTAAAAAACACCCACAATATATTTTTACTTCTAAAAATTCCCAGGCAGCTCTGGGCACTCCCTGCTAGTAAACAAACAAACAAACAAACAAACAAACTTACCTGGTGCTTTATATTTTCTGAATGTGTCATTTATCAGAGGAAAGAAAACCACAATGGGTGCTTTCGAATTCTCGAGATCTTCAAAGACATAGCACTCCTTCAGATCCTTATCCTTAATATGACTCAGGTCTACTTTGGGGAAAGGAATTCCTTGCTTTGCAAAGTATCTGGAGGCTTCATGTAAAGGCTGGATTGTCGTAAGACAAAAAGTGAAATGAGACTTCACCCTTACTAAAATAATCTAGTTTGGTTTTTTATATACAAAGATGCTTAGGTTTGAGACCTTCCCATACACCTCACTTCCTGCCATGATGTGCAGACTTCATGTGTCCCTGTGTGTGTTGGCAGGTGGAGACAAACCTGACTCTACTGAGCCTATGGGAATCCATGAATGGGTGTTGCTCCTCTAGCGGAGCAGAGTGTGTCCTTTGGATTCATTTTGATCTCCTTAGAGTGATCAAACTGCTTTACACACATTACATAAATAAATCTTTCAAGAGTAAGCAAATGAGGATCTGGAGATGAGAGATTCCTGCTTTTTAATGGTTGTCTAAGCAAGTCCACATGGGACGCGGGTGGCGCTGTGGGTAAAAGCCTCAGCGCCTAGGGCTTGCCGATCGAAAGGTCGGCGGTTCGAATCCCCGTGGCAGGGTGCGCTCCCGTTGCTCGGTCCCAGCGCCTGCCAACCTAGCAGTTCGAAAGCACCCCCGGGTGCAAGTAGATAAATAGGGACCGCTTACTGGCAGGAAGGTAAACGGCATTTCCGTGTGCTGCGCTGGCTCGCCAGATGCAGCTTTGTCACGCTGGCCACGTGACCCGGAAGTGTCTCCGGACAGCGCTGGCCCTCGGCCTCTTAAGTGAGATGGGAGCACAACCCTAGAGTCTGTCAAGACTGGCCCGTACCGGCAGGGGTACCTTTACCTTTACCTTTTAAGCGAGTCCACAGTGAAAGATCAAACTTGAATTATGGACTTATTTACCCGTTCACAACTCACTATCTTAGCATTAACTTGTACAGTGGTACCTCAGGTTAAGTACTTAATTCGTTCTGGAGGTCTGTTCTTAACCTGAAACTGTTCTTAATCTGAAGCACCACTTTAGCTAATGGGGCCTCCCGCTGCTGCCACGCCGCCGGAGCACAATTTCTGTTCTCATCCTGAAGCAAAGTTCTTAACCCGAGGTACAATTTCTGGGTTAGCAGAGTCTGTAACCTGAAGCATATGTAACCTGAAGTGTATGTAACCTGAGGTACCACTGTATATCGAAGTATTTTGATGGCACCATATCAGGAAGAGTACTCTGTTCAAACATAAAACACCATTTAAACAATAAAAATACAGATAATCATTAAGATGCCTGGGTAATTCTCATCTGGTTGACAAGTGAGAGAAGAGCATGATTAACTTTTGATGAGAAGTAGGATGGAGGCAAGAAGAACTAGCACTGGAAGTTAAAACAGAACAGCAGAGAAATCCTCCATTCTAATATAAACCTGTGCCATCAGCTACAGCAGAGGGGAAGGCACTGTGGCCCTCCAGATGTTGCTGAACTACAACTCCCATCACTGCAGCCAGAATGACTAATGGTCAGGGTAATGGGAGCAACATCTGTAATTCAGCAACATCTGGAGGAGCACAGGTTCCCCACTCCGGATCTAGAGTGTCTGGGATTCTGGAACCCTGCTGGGCAATAACTATTTGGCTTTATCTCGAATCACATTTCCCACTTCAGTTCTTTCTTACAATATGCCAACTGGTCTGAACTGGGTAGTCCTCATGTAATGGAAATTCCAAAAGCATTATGAAGATGGAACAATTTGGTAAGCAGTTTCTGATTGGCTACCTGGAACATTTACATCAGAGGCAGTTCAAACTATATGCTGTCTTATTACAGAGGCCAGCTTTCCCAGGTCTGAATTTTCCATAAAATTCTAGAGCATTTTCCCGGTGTCTGGACTCCATTGGAAACGACAAGATCTGAAATCCACAACACTACACCTGCTTGAGCCACCTGCTGGATCACTGTATATTGCAATGTTCTCAGGGTTTGTTGGTTTGTTTGTTTTTGTCTTGGCAGTGTGAGATAGAGACTCCAATTCACTGACTGCATCATTGGTATAACTGTAAGTGAGGTCAATAGACATAGACTTTCAGGGACACATTTGACCTCAGTCAGAAGTGGGAAGTTTTGAACCTGGGGGCATACTTGTGGATTTGTCTGTTGCTATATTCTTCTTGCTGGTGCCTTTTGTTAATGTGAATAAAATTATCTGGCCATATATCAGGTGTGAGTGTCCAGGGACAAGGGGAGGACATTTTCTCAGATATCCAAATTTGACACCCAGATTTTCCTTGGGGTGGGATCTGAATCTAGAACTGAATTCTCAACCTGCAAAAAAATAACTCATAGCCTGCTGAACCCAACCCTAGTTACAACCCACATGTTTCACTAATGTCCCACTGTATGAGCATCGTCATGGACTGACTAGTCCAATAAATCCCTAGAATCATGAAAAAGTCTAAATCCAGGCAGCAAAGCAAAATCACAAAAACTTAACTTATGTCCACAATTCAGAAGGCCACAGTGACAAAAAGCAAGCCAGGAGTAGGAAGGGAAGCAGGACTAAGACAAAGACTCAATGGTAGTGGGAGAGTAGCAAAGACCAAGGTGAAAAGCAGGAAACAGAGAGGCCATACCCTGTAATAGTGGATCCTAATAACTAATGAGTAGTCTGCTGTATCATCAGCTCCAAGGACTATCTCATTTTGCTGCCTGTCATGAAGAATAAGATCTTACACACAGAGAGGGAGAGAAAGGATAGAGAATCCATCTAGTCCAGTGTTTCCCAAACTTTTTTGGGCAACGGCACACCTGTTTACTGAAAAAAAATCTCGCGGCACACCACCATTAAAGCCCCGCCCCGTGACGTCAGCGCGCAGCGTCACGCCGGGAGGGACGCACGAAAGTGAAAGTTTTTCCCCTCCCCCTTGCTGGGGAACCTCCAAGCTTTGGGGGTGGGAGGAGGCAGCAGAGCGAGGGACTGAGGGACGGCGGCAACTGAGGCGGCGGCGGCTGTGGTGGTGGTGGCGGCGATAGCGGGCGGAGGAGGGGGCGGCGGCAGGGCTTGAGGAGCCGTCGCCGGGAGTTGCTGCTGCTGTTGTTGCTGCTGCTGCCCGGACATGCCGGCCTCCTCCTCCTCCGCTGTCTCGCGCTCCTCCCTTTTGCACGCGCTGCCCCGCCGCTCGGCACCACCACCGCGGAGCCGCCCCCGGCTCGACGCGGATCCTCGCCGCCGCCGCCTCTCACCGCCCGACTCGCCCGCCTCCTTCCCACGGCACACCAGCCAATGTCTCACGGCACAGTAGTGTGCCGCGGAACACCGGTTGGGAAACACTGATCTAGTCAATCAGACTGGTACTTGAATCTTGGAGGTTTTTAAGCAGAGGTTGAGTGGCCATCTGCCATAGATGCTTTAGCTGAGATTCCTGCATTGTAGGGGATTGGACTAAAAGACTGTTGGGGTCCCTTCCAACTCTACAATTCTATGATTCTATTATAGGTCCAGCAGGGCTGGCTTTGTCAAGCAGCCAGTTAAATGTTATTGTGTAGTAAAATGACCTGCAAAACGCTGAAGTTTTATTCTGTTTTATCAACTTCAGGTTTAAATTTGGTCATTTTAAATATACGTACAATTGCCCTAGTATCAATTTAGGGAATTTATCAGTGAAACCAGCTATTGTGAAGACCAAGGGTGAGATGGTTAGAGTGACAGCTGAGTAAGGAAACTGGGGAGTTTGAAAATACAGTAAGGTCACACTTAACTGAAGTTGCTTCTTTTTTAAAGCCAACCAACTATGGACTTCAGAAGCTATTGCTTCCAGCTGGAGGCTGTTCAGTAAAAGTTGTGTGTAGCAGCTGCTGCAGCATGTTCTGATCAGCCCATATAGAATAGCTTAGTAGGTGTATGAGCCCATCATGTTTCTACTGGTAATGGTGTGAAACGGCTTCACAAAATGGGGGCAACCCATGAGACAAAGCTACGTTACACTGTGACAGGGAGTCACTGCCATGCAGAGCAGAAGCCTTTTCAAGCTGCCTCCAAGTGGTGTTTATAACATAAGAACACATCAACTGATGCTTATCATTTTCTCTAGGGCTAATAATCAATATAAAACTAGAAAGCAATGATTCAAAAACTAAAAATGTCTCACAGATGTTTGTGATCCTGAAGAATAATTTAAATGTATAATGACATCCACTTTCCTCTCAGGCCTCAGGAGTGGTGGGTAGCTGATATCTATATATGCTGCAGTATCTGTGATAGACAGGTATTCTGATGTAGCTGTCAGCTGGTTGGGAAGAGGGTCTAGATCAGTATCTGAAAGGCAAATACCATGGTTAGCAAGTAATAGTCTGCTGCTACTTTGATTAATATGCACTTTCACAGTTTTCTGCATTTGTCTGTAGTTCTAAAAAGAGCTTTGCATTCCAAAGCTCAAGATCCATTACTCCTTCCCCAACAATATCACAACTGGAGAAAGACCTGCTGGAATGTAATGTAAAAGTGCTGTCTAAAATGCATAAAATATTATTGGGATATTGGGATATTATTGGAATGGGAGACAAAGGATGAGCAAGTAAAATCCTCAATGATACATTGGGCAATAGATATTGGTCATCATATAGATATGGAAGCATGGGAAGGGTTGTGGAATATGGATATAAAATTGACAGTATGTTATGATCTAAGAGAAAATTATATGAAAATGATATATTGATGGTATCTAACACTGAGTAAATTGGCAAAAATGTATAAATCTAAATCAAATAAGTGTTGGAAATGTAAAGAGAAAGAAGGTTCTTTTTATCACATGTGGTGGTCTTGTAGTAAGGTTAAAGCTTACTGGGAAATGATATATACTGAATTGAAAAGGATGTTTAAAATAATGTTTATAAAAAAACCCATAAGCTTTTCTTTTGGGAATTATAGGGACAGAACTACCGAAACTGTATAGAAACTTCTTCATGTACGCTACTACAGCGGCAAGAATGTTACTTGCCCCAAAATGGAAAGAGGCAGAAGTCCCAGCAAAGGAAGAATGGATACAAAAACTTATGAAATATGCAGTAATAGTGAAACTTCCCGGATGAATAAGAAATCAAGATAACAAACTTTTTTATATAAAAGAATGGAAATGGTTTATTGAATATTTACAGATAAATTGTAAACAGATAAGAACATTGACAGGATTATTGTAATAACCTGCAGTTTGATAAGAGTATATATTTAAAGTAGATGAATAAATGAGCAAATTAAGTTTATTTGGATATGCAGAAGATATTAAAAATAAATTTAAAGAACCGCAGAAAGAGGGAGAAGGAAGTCAAGTTTTGAAATGTTAAAATGATTGTTAAATTAGTGAAATGTATAAACCTTAAAAGCATAAATATTTTTTTAAAAAAATTCATCTCAATTATCATCAACCCAGTTAAAATTTAAAACTTGGAGATCAGTCAACTTGGTTAGTCAAGCCCTGACCACATACCTTTCCATATGGCAAAGTTTTTATTATCTATATATCCATCATTTAACTGCAATTCCCTTATGAAATTGTAGAACTTTGAGGTTGTTATCCTTTGTGTTAAGACTTCACGAAGGCTCTTCATGAATTTATTGGCAGGGATAACCAAGTGAGTATTCAATTCATCTGCTTTTGGTGGCTGAGGTGGTCTTTCTTCTGCAAGTCAGAATAAATGGTAAATTTTATTTACTGAAGCAGTCATAAGGAACGCATGCAATGATATGAACTGATGTATAGTGAAATAATCAGGGTTTCCCCCGATTATGTGACGGCTAGTAGGTAGGTGAGGTGCAGAGTTCATTCCTCATGATGGGTGCAGGCTGTTCCTTACATACCTTACCATCAGGACTATCCCAAGATATTTTGCTGCCTTTCAGTGAGGCCAAACTTTCATCAGCAAAACACCACACATTCACATTCCACACTGCTTCACACATTAAACGCTCGCTTCCATCTGAGACTCAGGAAACACTGTGACAAGAAATGAGGCCGCCATTGGGGGTAGCAACGGAACTGATGATTCACTGTGCTGGAGAAGAAACTATTTTTTTAAAAAAATTTAGTTTCTTCTCCTGTTAGATTCGCAAAATGTTTAGGGGTATGCATACCCCTGCATCCCCCCCAGAAAAAAGCACTGGTGATATGTATATTTTTAGAACTCACTCTGGTGGTGATTGTAATTTTTTTATGCTGCATATTATATCACCTGAGGATGTTCTGGCGAACGGCAGGTAATAATCAAATAACAATAATGTGCCAACTCAAGTTGCTAGTGTTGAAATCAGCTTTCTACAATTTGGGACCCAGGCACTTTAAAAATGTGCAGCCCTGGGATTCCTTACCAGGAAGGATGGCCTAAAAATATATTAAGTACATAATTAGCATACTATGGGGAGGGACAGGATGAAGAAGAATTTTAAATTTTATAACCAAATGTAAAACGAAACATGGATGACTAACCAATATCTTGTACTTTGTCCCTGGTAAGCAGGTACCACAGACCTTCTTCCGAAGAATCAAGTGCACGCCAGGAATCCAGTAGGTTATAAGAAAATACATTACTCCACACACCTAGAGAAAAGGAGGGAGAGATCAAGTAAGAAGTGCAAACATCATAAGGGGCGATCTGCATCCCAGTTTGTTGTGACTACTTTCTTTTTCCCCTCCGCTGTCACCACCAAAAGTAATGGGGTCTTGCGGGGGGGGCACCAAAAATTGCTTGGGGTTGGTCTCATTGGGTCTTCCGGCCAGGGATTAGCCACACCTATGTTAAGCTCCAGGTGAGCCACACCTTTTGAGGGACAAGGCATGACAGGAAAGCTAAAAGCAAAGCGAAAATAACCTAAAGCACAATGTTTGAAAGCCCTCACACCAGATATTTGCAATAAAAAATAAAAAATCATTTTGCATCTTTCTTGGTTCCCTCGGAAAGGTGTGTGAGGACTAACTGAGGTTCAGTGTTTTAAAAGTGTTTCAAAGAAAGACGACATTTTACAATGTCCTTCACAACATTATCAGGGTTTGAATTGGGCACTCTAACTCAAAGAAGATAATTCTTCAGTTGAGTTTCCAACAACCTGCAACCTTCCTTTGACTCTGTCATTACTATTACCGAATACAATCCAGGAAGGAAAATTAGTTCTCCTCTAGCCACTGACAGTAAACTTTAACTCTACTAGTCCTGTGAATATTCGAGGCAAAACAATAATGGAAGTGTCTTAAGGAATGAATTAGTGTTGTAGAGGGATAGTTGCTGTATAGGCTTCAGTTCACTAATTACTTAGATGACACCGTGACAATGTGCCAAATTAATAGATGATACCGAATTTGGAAGAGTAGCTTTAGTAAACAGGCTAAACATTTTAAAATACTTTTACATAGCAGATAGTTGAGCAGATGGAAACAGAATAAAAGGCTTTAGGAACAAGTGTAAATTGAGGGAGACACACTAAACGCATACATATGAGATCAGACTCCTAGCAATATTACTTCCACGATGCATGTAGGATTAATGCCCATCTGTTTGTTTTATATTATTTATCTGTGCATGGATAGTTTAATGTGAAATCAGGCTGGTTTTTGCTACACCACTCTGATTTTATCCAGAATGTACTGTTTTGCACACTGATTGGCAACTACATAAGTGTTGCTTACATGAAGTAAACAAGGGATGTAGAAATCACATTGTGTAAATTTTCCTCAGTGAATAAGCTGAACTGGGCAATTATTTGCCTCAGTAAAAGCTCAACTCTTTCACACTATCCTAAAGTCAGTGGAGCTTATTGCTAAGCAAGTATGTAGAGTAGAATAGCCTTTGTGATTTTTAGGCAGTAAACAAACCTTCATGCTACAGTCAGATTTTTTTTCTTCTAATGGGAATTGGAGGGATTTTTAACATTGTAGTATCTTGAAAATAGTATCTGCAGCTCATGTTTGTAAAAGTAGAGAATTTAAGTCACCTTTCATGAAACAGATTCCAGATTCTGGAAGTTTCCTCATCAGCCGTCCCATGAAGAATTTACTTCCAAAGTCCTCAGCACGAACATAGGCCCCATATTTTATTATTCCAACCTCAAAAGGAGTGAATTCCATCCATTCTATAACAGGACAAAAGCAATTATAGGTTCAAATTAAAAGTTTGCTTTGGTGAAATCTGGGTTTGTGATTGTTGCATTTTGAATAATTTATTTCTCATAGCAGATATATGAACTGACCTGAATGTCAGAAAAGAGAAAGAAAAGCAGAACCTTATACACAATGTTTTATTAGAACAGATACAAAAAAAAATTTAAAAACTGAGGAAAAATTATTTTCAGTTCACAATGAGGGGAGAGTTGTGTTTTGTGGTCCCCATTCTCAGCTGGTGGGCACCATTTTACCTTCCTAGAAAGCTCAAAAGTGATGTCAGATAGCATTGACTTGACTCTCTTTGACTTCATGATGATGCTATGTGATGTTGTGACATTATCTTCCATCAGAATTAGGGCAAAGGTTCATGCCCACATTCTGGGGTTCAACAGAAGAAACAAAGCCCCCCAGATACTGGGAATTCCTGGGAATACTAGCGCTCCAAGTGATAGATTTGTTGTACTCTTGATCCTCTTACAAGCCCTCCATAAACTGCCAAGATGCTTCCCCAGTGTTGTAGCATTCAGAAAGAGCAGTGAAGCTGGAGGACCCCAGTTTGGCTAAGTCTTAATTAAATGTATTACAAGATTGTCTTCAAATAATCTGAGATAATTATTCAACTCAGCTACAATTATTTAAAGCGGTAGATGTAGGGAAGCTACTATAAATAGTGGGTTGGATCCTTTGTTTGCGGAACTCCTCTCTGCCATAATAATGAGGATCTGTTGCACAACAGCCTTTTCATTAAAAAGAAGCAAGAGCCCTCTTGTTCAGAAAAGTGAGGATATCCAAGACACTCCCTAGACTTTGTGGATATCCAAGGGCATGGGAAACAAAGCAGATTAATCCAGGGAAATAAAGGGGCAGTCGCCCAATCACTACCTGCAGTTGTCTGTGTTCCTTGTCACCAAGTTGTCACCACTATCTTTCTCTTATGGTGGGTTGGCTAATTTGACCTTACCAAATTAGAACTGCTATCTAAGAAGAAGAGTTTGGATTTGATATCCCACTTTATCACTCCCCTTCAGGAGTCTCAAAGTGGCTAACATTCTCCTTTCCCTTCTTCCCCCCACAACAAACACTCTGTGAGGTGAGTGGGGCTGAGAGACTTCAAAGAAGTGTGACTAGCCCAAGGTCACCCAGCAGCTGCTTGTGGAGGAGCGGAGACGCGAACCTGGTTCACCAGATTACGAGTCTACCGCTCTTAACCACTACACTACACTGGCTCTCTTTTGAACTTTACACCCAAGAAGTGGGGATCAGGTGGCCTTCTGCTTCCATAGAATCACCATTTTGGGTGCAAGTGCAAACATTTCTGGATGGTCACATGACCTGCTCTGGAAATAAAGAAGGCTCCTGGTGTAAGAAGGGGAAGATATTTCTGGCCTCCCCATCCCTGGCCTTACTGGTGCCATGACATGCAAAGCATAGATCTCACACAGCTCAGCTAGGCTCCCACCTCATGTCCCATGAGCAGGTACTAATTTTATCTTGCTTTAGCTGGAAGAGGGACCTTCTTTCTTAGGATGCTCAGCTGAAAGGATAGGTAAACACCTCTTCTCAAGATCAAGATCAGGGTGTGACGTAAAGGCACAGAAGTGATAATCTGGCCCCCCTTTGCATTCTAAAGGTCTTCAATCTATGAAGGGGTGCTGTTTTTACAGATCCCTCAATACAAAAGGGATCTTTTGGAGCAGATTTTCATGCTTGCTTATGTAACTAGTTTTTATACTTGTAAGACCTTTATATGCCTATTGTGGCATTTAGTGGCATACAAACAAATACATTAAATATGAAAAAGTGTTAATCATAAAGTCAATAGTAAGTCAAGTCACCGTGGGAGCTTTTTCACTTTCAAATCAAATACAATATGGATAACATTACCTTTAAATTCTGCAAGGCTATAGTTGTCCTTGGTGTTGAGTACCATGTATATCGGCAGGGGGCTTTGACCGTGAGTCAGGGCACGCTTCTGCCCTGAGAGTGTGTCGCTGCATCTCTTTAAAAATAATGGTTTAAATAACACCAAATTATTAAAACGGCAAGGAAATCCAATCCTATAGGCAGTAACAAATATTAGGAAGGGGTGGTGAGAAGACAAGCTTAATCCCTAACCCTGATTTCATCCGCATATCTAAAAACGCTTCATCTCCACCACCTCTCAGGCCTTGTTCACATCCCAACAGGCCTCATCTGAAGTGAAAGATGGGTTGAAATTCCTCTAAGGAATTAGCTGAGAATGTGTTTTTGGGGGTCCTTTAAAATATTAAGAGAATTTCAGCCGCTGCCTGAAAAATATTTTGTGAAATCACACACACAGCTTTCTGCCAGCCAGTAGGACTGGTGGAGAATTTCAGGAGCAGCTATAGATTCAACCCAATGGCAACTTCTGTTGGCTAGGCTCTGGTAAACTCTGAATTAGATTGCTGAAAAGCATCGTATGTGGAGCTGTCTTTGAAGGAAATTTGGAAACTGCTGTTGGTGCAGAATTCAGCAGGCCGGTTGCTCATCAAGACAAGATGGTCTGAGCACATTACACCGATCCTGGCATTATTGCATTGGCTGCCACTTAGTTTCTGGGCTCAATTCCAAGTACTGGTTTTGACCGATAAAGCCTTAAACAGCTCAGGGCTGCAATATCTCAAGGACCGCCTCTCCCCATATGAACCAACCTGGACTCTGCAATCATAATCTGAGGCCCTTCTTCATATGCCTCCGCCATGAGAGGTCTAGAGGGTGGCAACAAGGGAATAGGTATTTTCTGTGGTAGCTCCCCTTTTGTGGAATGCTCTCCCCAGAGAGGCTTGCCTGGCTCCTTCATTATTTATCTTTAGGGGCCAAATAAAAGCATTCCTTTTTAACCAGGCCAGTGACTGATTGACATTCCAGGACCATTTAAATGGGGTTATTGGTTTGTGTTTGCTCTTGGTTCTTGTATTTATTATGCATTTTGAGTTCTCATTTTGAAATTTTATGTTGTGAATCATCATCATCTCTCAGATTTAATTTCAGAAAATAGAAAATGAATAAAAACAGAAATATATATTACCCCGTTGCTCAATGCTTTGTCAATGAAAAGTCCCCAAAGATCAGTGACACATGTTTTGTAGCCTTCCTTTTGCCGATGTTCCAGTGCAGCACTGTATTCCTTTAAGTTTTGGAGGGAAAACAAGTCCAGCTTGCATCTGGTGATACTCTTGCGAGCCTCTGAAATTGCTCCTGAAAGGTCTTGCTGTGACCAGTCAGCATGTTCATAAAGATTGGATAAGGCCCTAGGGGAGAGGAATTATTTATTTATTTCTTCATTTTTTCATTTATATTCTGCCTTTCCTCCACAGAGCCAAGGTGAAGTATATGGCTCTCCCTGTCTCCATTTTGTTCCCATAAGAAACTTGTGAAGCAGGTTAGGCTGAGAGATAGTGACTTATTTTACACTCCCATTATAGTGTAAAATAATGGGAGTGTAAAATAAATTGCTATGAGACATACTGAATATTATCAGTAAAGCAAAACAAAACAAAAAAAACCCACAATTTTCTTTATGAAAAACCAGAAAAACATGCAAAACATGTTGTTGATGCTTGGAAGGAATTTGATACGTCCATGGGACTTTTCAGTGCACATATATATATATATATATATATATATATATGCTTTCGTAATTATATATATATCCCAAAAAAACTACAACCCCCCCCCTCCCAAAACTGGATAAAGGCTAAAGATAAACAAAATGCAACTATAAGAGACTGAAAATAAAAGACTTCTGGGTTGGCCATGCAGCCTGTGGCATTAGATGGCATATACTGTTGTATACCGCCACAAGGAGCAGGGCAGCTCTGGTACTGACGCTCGCACCCGGGCATGTCGGAAACCCATCACCTTAGGCATGCCAAGTGTAAGGACTGAGTAGGACTGAGTAAGCTGCCTGGGTATAGATTTGATTGCTGATTGCTGATCTAAACAAGGCACTCCATTACACAGGCTCATTTCCTAATCTAATACATTGTGCATGTTCTTTCTCCTCCTTAATCAGAGTTTTAGCATCATGCGTGAGTGTGCAGGAAGCAAATAGATCAGAAGTGGGGAACCAGCGGCCCAGAGATGTTGCTAGACTGACACTGACTCCAACCCTGACAGCTGGCCAGACTGCCTGGGGCTTATGGAGTCCAACAGCATCTGAAGGGTTACAGGTTCCCCATTCCTGAAACAGATAATTTGTTGTTTAGTTGTTTAGTCGTGTCCGACTCTTCGTGACCCCATGGACCAGAGCATGCCAGGCACTCCTGTCTTCCACTGCCTCCCGCAGTTTGGTCAGACTCATGTTTGTGGCTTCAAGAACACTGTCCAACCATCTCGTCCTCTGTTGTCCCCTTCTCCTTGTGCCCTCAATCTTTCCCAACATCAGGGTCTTTTCCAGGGAGTCTTCTCTTCTCATGAGGTGGCCAAAGTATTGGAGCCTCAACTTCACGATCTGTCCTTCCAGTGAGCACTCAGGGCTGATTTCCTTAAGAATGGATGCGTTTGATCTTCTTGCAGTCCATGGGATTCTCAAGAGTCTCCTCCAGCACCATAATTCAAAAGCATCAATTCTTCGGCGATCAGCCTTCTTTATGGTCCAGCTCTCACTTCCATACATCACTACTGGGAAAACCATGGCTTTAACTATACGGACCTTTGTTGGCAGGGCGATGTCTCTGCTTTTTAAGATGCTGTCTAGGTTTGCCATCGCCTTTCTCCCAAGGAGCAGGCGTCTTTTAATTTTGTGACTGCTATCACCATCTGCAGTTATCATGGAGCCCAAGAAAGTAAAATCTCTCACTGCCTCCATTTCTTCCCCTTCTATTTGCCAGGAGGTGATGGGACCAGTGGCCATGATCTTCGTTTTTTTGATGTTGAGCTTCAGACCATATTTTGCGCTCTCCTCTTTCACCCTCATTAAAAGGTTCTTTAATTCCTCCTCACTTTCTGCCATCAAGGTTGCGTCATCTGCATATCTGAGATTGTTGATATTTCTTCCGGCAATCTTAATTCCAGTTTGGGATTCATCCAGCCCAGCCTTTCGCATGATGAATTCTGCATAAAAGTTAAATAACCAGGGAGACAGTATACAGCCTTGCCGTACTCCTTTCCCGATTTTGAACCAATTAGTTGTTCCATATCCAGTTCTAACTGTAGCTTCTTGTCCCACATAGAGATTTCTCAGGAGACAGATGAGGTGATCAGGCACTCCCATTTCTTTAAGAACTTGCCATAGTTTGCTGTGGTCGACACAGTCAAAGGCTTTTGCATAGTCAATGAAGCAGAAGTAGATGTCTTTCTGGAACTCTCTAGCTTTCTCCATAATCCAGCGCATGTTTGCAATTTGGTCTCTGGTTCCTCTGCCTCTTCGAAATCCAGCTTGCACTTCTGGGAGTTCTCGGTCCACATACTGCTTAAGCCTGCCTTGGAGAATTTTAAGCATAACCTTGCTAGCGTGTGAAATGAGTGCAATTGTGTGGTAGTTGGAGCATTCTTTGGCACTGCCCTTCTTGGGGATTGGGATGTAGACTGATCTTCTCCAATCCTCTGGCCACTGCTGAGTTTTCCAAATTTGCTGGCATATTGAGTGTAGCACCTTAACAGCATCATGTTTTAAAATTTTAAATAGTTCAGCTGGAATATCATCACTTCCACTGGCCTTGTTATTAGCAGTGCTTTCTAAGGCCCATTTGACTTCACTCTCCATGATGTCTGGCTCAAGGTCAGCAACCACACTACCTGGGGTGTATGAGACATCCATATCTTTCTGGTATAGTTCCTCTGTGTATTCTTGCCACCTCTTCTTGATGTCTTCTGCTTCTGTTAGGTCCTTTCCACTTTTGTCTTTTATTATGGTAATCTTAATTTAATTAATCTTAATTTTATTATGGTAATCTTTATTATGGTAACAGATAATATATATCAATAATTTCATTGCCTCTCATGACTAATAATTCATTTGGTGCTCTAGTAATGTATCAGCTTACCTCGCTTTCCCCCTCCACTCCCTCCCTCCCTCCATTCCCTACCCTATCCAGAACTTTATTCTCTGAGTTTCCGAATAGCTAACAGGACCAGTGGTCAGGGATGATGGGAGTTGTAGTCCCAAAACATCTGGAGGGCCAAGTTTGCCTATGCCTGCTTTAGAAGCTATTCTACAGAAAAGAAATGGGGGGGGGGACCCAACAGAGGATTTATAGGCTAAGCCTGTGTTGTGAGCTTTTACCACCACTTTACTTACTTTCAAGCCTGGCAAGTTTCTAACAGCACACAGGCTATTCTCCATGTTCCCCTTCACAGAAAAGTTTCTGGGCAGCCATATATGGACCACTCTTTAGTCACTGCAGTATGGACCATAGAAATGTCAAAAGGGAACTTGCCATTGCACCATCCTTACCATGTGGAGCCAGATGATCCAGTGATGTATGAAATACAATCTAAGAGATTCAATTTTTGAAGACCATACAGGTTGCCATGTAAAGCTGTGAATGCCCTGGCACCTCCTCCTGTTGTCATGACAGCCACCACTGGCACCTGTTCAACATAAAACATTTTTTAATAATCAAATGTAAGGGTGCATTAAGAAACCAATGATTAAAAGTAATACATGGGGATAATATGATGAGGTCCTCACAGCCCCTGTTCTTCCTTTCTAAACAGAATGCTGAAGTCACTCTTAAAATGATTTTGATATTGAAGTCAGTTGTACATCCCCTGAAGGAAGCAAGGTTCGGATCAGGAGAGGGCAGTGCAAGGAGGGTGCAACAATCATGCCACTCGGGGCTGGTGGCACTCCAGCGGTGGAAGGGTCTGGGTGGGTGTGATGAGCTCCATTCATCCCCCACCCCTCACTCCACCCCCAATGCAGGGCACAGACACACACACACAGGGCGGCATGGAGACATGCTCTGTCGCTGCCTGCTAGACCAACTTCCTCTCTGTTTCACAATAAGGATAGTAAGATTAATAAATGGAACCTTGGGGGAGTTCCAGCAAGGCAAGATGGCAAACGCCACAACTGCGTGGAGCTCCTGAGGACCAGCAGCTCCAATGGCACATCCTTAAAGCCTTTGATTGCTTAGAATGGAAATATCTTCCTTCCTTCCTTCCTTCCTTCCTTCCTTCCTTCCTTCCTTTGTTAAACCAATTCATGAACCAAGAACCTGTCAATTGACCACTAATAATAAAACATACATTGTAAATATTTTTCCAATTTATTATGCTATTTTTGTGATATACAAATGACATGAGAAAACTTGGTATACTTGCTTGTATAACATCATTCTTGTTTATAAAACCCAATTTTTTAAAAAAAGAATGACAATATCTATTAGCAGTTTTAACTAACATGAAATTTGGCCCCAACTTCCTACAAACCCTCAAACAAATTTATTCCCAAACCTCAGCAAAATGCAGAATTAACAATATGGACTTCAATAGCACAGCAATCCAAAGAGGCACAAAACAAGGATGCCCACTGTCTCCCTTCCTATTCATCTTGGCCCTGGAACGCCTAGCAATCCGACTCTGAGCAGCCCCAGATATCAAGGGTATGGAAATAAAAGGTAAAACCTACAAACTAGGGCTCTTCACAGACCACCTGATGGTCACAACACCAGGCCCCATAAACACAGCAACCACCCTAACTAAAGAACTCAACACATTCACAATGGTGTCAGGCCTGCAAGTAAACTTTATAAAATCTGAGGCTATGTGCTTCAACACCCACATACCGCTGCATACCCAAAAACGATTCACCAACACCACAAAGATAAAACACTGCCGCACCAAATTCAGGTACCTAGCAGTTCAAATAACCAGAAACCTCAACAAACTATACCTCCACAATTACAAGTCCCTGTGGTGACATATTAACAGAGGCTTGAGGAAATGGAACACCAAATTCACCCTCATAGACAAAATACCCATGATCAAAATGATCACGCTCCCAAATCTAACCTACTTATTCCAAACCCTCCCAATCTGGATTCCCCCAACCTAACTTCATAAGTGGCAGAATAAACTACACTAGGTCTTTGACCATCTTCAAAAACCTTCTCCTGACAGCAAAGGGACACAGCAAAGGGATGCTATCCACAATATACAACATACTGCTCCAAAATCCCACAAACCCCTTTGATGCAATCAAAAAACAATAGGAGCATGACATAGGCTATGAAATAACCCCCACCCAATGGACTAGAATGTGATCTAAACCTCCCTTTAAGTCCACATCAGCCAAAAGAAGGAAACTCACTCTGAAACTCACCTACGGGTGGTACTTAACACCATGGAAACTGACACTGATACGCCCAGGAAACTCACCAAGATGTTGGAGAGGCTGCACATCCATAGGCACATACCTCCACATGTGGTGGGAATGCCCCAAAATCCAACCCTTCTGGACAGCACTTCTACAGGAAATATGCAAAATAACTAAACATGTATTAGAATGCACCCCAGAACTGGCCCTACTGAACATCTTCCAAGATCATAATGACCACTCACATTATACAGAGCTTATAACCCACCTACTCTCAGCAGCCAGAAACCTCACAGCCAGACATTGGAGAGACCTGTCAAAAGTAAACATGGACCAATGGTATCAAATTGTATGGGAAGCAGCCTTACTAGAAAAGCTAACCAACTGAAACTGACACGGGGACAAACAGAAGAGGATGCCTTCACCCCAGTATGGTTCCCCTTTATCACAAACACAGCCCAACAAGACAAGAACAACAATCCACTGGCAGCATATGAATCAATCTGGCTTATCGGACTCAACAAGCTCTCTCCCCTCACAAATGCAAACAAACACCACTGCAGCCTGTTGGGATTGGAACTTAACAGGTTAAGTTTTTCCCATGGTGCCACACCATTCTGACGTCAGTTTTCGAAGGTGGGAGGAGTCGAGTTCAGTTCTCTCTGTGCTTTGAGAGAGAGGGACATGCTTTGAAATGGCTGCCAGCAGTGATGGCTGAAACGTTCCAATAAATAGCTGTAAATAGACAAACTTGCCTCTGTGTGTTTGTCTGGAAGCTAAGCTAAGGACGTAAGGCTGTTTTACATCGCTGTGCTTATCTCTGCTACTGGCGTGACTGGAGCTGACTGAAGAGCTGCTGGAGACGGAGCAGAGTCTCGCAGGGAAGTGTGCCGGGCTGCAATGGCTAATTGAGGACCAATAAATCAATTAGCGGGAGTCGCGCCAATATCGTAAATCGTGTTACGCTCAGGTTATGGGCACTAATCACCGCTTGTAAAACTGTCACTGAAGTGCCGGAATGCGTTTGAAGTTCGGCAGGAGACGGTGGTCGTTTTTTGCCTGGTGTTAAGAGGCAAGGAGAGCTGCAGAGCTAAAAGCAAGAAGCAGCTGGGAGCTGAAAAGCAGCTGAGAAATCGTTTCTCCACGGAAGGAAGTGCCAGAGGAGCTGAAACTGGTCTGTGAGTACAGCTTGGGGCCCCTTGGGAGAACGGGAAAAGATGGCGGACGGCCATGATTCATTCTCCGTGCCTTTTGAAAAACTAAACGGCAAGAATTGGGCAGAATGGAGTCGAAAGCTAAAGGCCTGGCTGGTAGCCAAGGGTTTGTGGGAGGCGGTCTTAAGGCCTCCACTGCCTCAACCAGCCGCCGGAGCTGCAGCAGCAGCAGTTGCAGATGCGCATGCCTCGCAGAGGAGAAATCAGAAAGCCCTGGGAGCTATAGTGCTCAGTTTGGAGGGTTCACAGTTGCCCCATGTGGAGGGTTTGGAAACTGCGCATGAAGCTTATGCTGCTCTTGAAAGAGTGCACCACAGGACCACGGCTGGTGCAAAAATCCACACCACCAGACGTTTGTTTGAAATGAAGCTGCGTCCAGGTGGGGACATAAGACAGCATGTTACAGAGATGCTCTCTGTGTTTAATGAACTGCGGCTGTTGCAGGTGAACTTTACAGATGAGTTGAAGGTTTATATTTTGCTCAGCTCTCTGGACAAAAGTTATGACAATTTATGTCTAACTTTGGAGTCTATGAGTCCGCAGGATTTGACTCTGGCGTACGTCACGGGACGCTTGACTGACGAACAGGAGAGACGCCAAAGGGAGGGCAAGTCTGGCGCAGGCAGCTCCGCCGGAAGCAAGGGGGGGGCCAGGCCAGATGAGAGCTCTGTTCAGGCTTTTTCCATTCGTCGGTGTTATACGTGTGGGTCCGACAGCCATCTTAGAAGAGACTGCCCACAAAGAGCGAGGACAGCTGCGCAGGAAGGCTTCAAGGTCAATCAACTGAACTCTCATGGGAACCAGTCGGGTTTCCATGGCAACAGGCCTGGGAAGACAGGCAGGCGTGGAACTGAGCCAGGTGGCCGTGGTAAACAACGGGAAGAGTCTTATCAAGTCTCGGCGAGTATGGCAGTGTTTGAAGACGGCCGAGTGGAAAGTTCCGAGATGGCCTTTGTTATTGACTCTGCAGCTAACCGCAACATGGTTCCAGAGACCCCTGCAGTCGAGAGGTGGAATTGCACGGCAGTTCCGAAGGGACAGACTATTAAGTTTGCAAATGGACAGAAAACTAGAGTTTCCTCGTGTACTAATGCCTATTTTTCTGTTCTACAGGAGACGGTGAATTTATGTATTGTTCCAGAGATTCAACATTGTTTGTTATCTGTGCCTTATTTGTTAAGTAAGGGGTTCAAAATTTGTTTTGAAAACGATGTCTGCACGATCTCCAAAGGGGGGAGGTTACTGGCCAAAGTGCGGAAGGGACAGAATGATCTTTTCATTCTTAAAACGTCTCTTGGAGGTGAGGGGAAGGTTGAGAAAGCACAAGCGTTGCGTGCTACAGTTCCCAACCAGCGTGCTACAATTCCCGCTCATAATGTTACATGTGCATGCGTATGGCATCAGAGAACGATTCACAATCCTTTAGAGGATTTGCAGGTGTTACCTGAGGTTGTTACAGGTTGTAAGATTAAAGATTGTCAAAGTGCCATTAATTGTGACACTTGCAAGCTAGCAAAGGTAAAAGGATGCAGTTACCCAAAGGTGGAACGTGTAGCCACTAAACCTTTTGAGCTAGTGCACATAGATTTGTCCGGTCCTGTCAAGGCACCAAGTCTAGGGGGGGCCAGGTTTCTGCTCGTTTTTCTGGATGATTTCTCGCAGAATTCCTGGGCTCACGGTCTTAAATCCAGGGAGGATGCAGCACGGCTGATCAAGAGCTGGATTGAAGGGGTGGAACAGAGGTTCTCCACCAGGGTTCAAGCTATCATCAGTGACAGAAATGCTAAGTACACTGGTTCTGCTTTGCAGGAGTTCTTTCACAAGAAAGGGATACGACACACAGTCATTTCACCCCAGCAAGGTGGGGTGGCAGAGCTGCGAAGTGGAGCTCTGGTTCAGGCTGCACAGGTGTTGCTGAAAGATTCTGAGTTACCTCCAAGGTTTTGGCTGGAGGCAATCAAGTATGTGAGCTTCACCTGGAATCGTGTCTATAACTCATTGGTAGGTGACACACCGTTTTCTTTGTTAAATGGCCGAAAACCCCAGGTTCACTTTCTGCGGACGTTTGGGACCCCTGCGCTTGTCTCTGTACCTGAGGCTTTGCGAGGGCCAGATGGAGCCAAAGTCCAGAAAATGATCTTCTGTGGGTATGAGCCAGAAGCCCGTGCATGGAGGTTCGCATTTCCATCAGGTGATCAGAGTAAGTTACTGATCAGTAAACACGCTGAGTTCTTTGAGCAGAGTGAGAAGCCAAAGATTGTTTTCCAGCGTGATCTTCTCTCAGATTGTCTCTCTGACCCAGAGGACAGTTGTGATGAGGAGGAAGGAGAGGCTGAGCCTGCTGATGAGGACCAGGTCCAGGATCAGGGTTCAGAATCCGATGATGATGATCAGTTCACTGACCAAAGTCAGGAGCAAAGTCAGGAACAGGAGGAGGTATCTGTAATTTCTCCACAGGTTAAGAGAACACCCAAAAGCGAGCCTAGTTCTCCTGTGAGTGTAATGGAGAGGATTCGAAGACGTTTTAAGTCAGAGGGGGAATCCCGTGAGGCTGAGGACACAGGTTCTGGTGGCAGTGAGTCAGAGGTAACATCTGAGTTTGTGCCCAGAAGGTCCAGTCGCTCAACGAAGGGCATTCCGCCAGAGAGGTATCAGGCCACAGGTGCGTGGGTAAATTTCGCACAGTGCGTTTCTGAAAGTTGTGAGGTGGTTCCACAAATGCCAAACAGGTTTGCCAAGGGAAGGCGCAAGGCATTGGGGAAGGAATTGATCTCACAAGGTGTTACTGAAAGGGTTCAACAGGTGCCTGGGAAAAATGCCGGAAAGGGGCACAAGGCAAAGGGAAAGGTGTTGAACTCAGAAGAGTCTTGTCAGAATGGGCGGCAAAGGGGGGTGTTGGGATTGGAACTTAACAGGTTAAGTTTTTCCCATGGTGCCACACCATTCTGACGTCAGTTTTCGAAGGTGGGAGGAGTCGAGTTCAGTTCTCTCTGTGCTTTGAGAGAGAGGGACATGCTTTGAAATGGCTGCCAGCAGTGATGGCTGAAACGTTCCAATAAATAGCTGTAAATAGACAAACTTGCCTCTGTGTGTTTGTCTGGAAGCTAAGCTAAGGACGTAAGGCTGTTTTACATCGCTGTGCTTATCTCTGCTACTGGCGTGACTGGAGCTGACTGAAGAGCTGCTGGAGACGGAGCAGAGTCTCGCAGGGAAGTGTGCCGGGCTGCAATGGCTAATTGAGGACCAATAAATCAATTAGCGGGAGTCGCGCCAATATCGTAAATCGTGTTACGCTCAGACAGACAACCGACCACACCCTGCCCCTATATCTTCTGCTTGTCTCTCATGGGGAGGCATTATAGATCAGTGGTATTTTTTGTTTGTTTGTTGTTTGTTTAATTTGTATACTGCCCTATACCCGCAGATCTGAGTACGTGTTCTGCACACATTTGCATAAGGTCCACAATTCAGTCCCAAGCATCTCCATTGGAGTGGGAGTTCATTGAGACCAACGTAATGCCAGGGACTTGGGAAAACCACTGTCACTCAAAGCAGACAGTACCAAGCTATGGGCAGACAAAGGGTTTCCGCAGTGGAGCATGTCTACCAGAGGCGGTTTTAGGGTAGCACACCAGTTCAGCCACACGGTGCCACACTGCTGGGGCACCACAATGATACTCTAGAATGGAGTGCAAGAAGCAGTGGGTGGGTGGGTGCATGCACACGAAAGCTCATACCAAGAACCAACTTAGTTGGTCTTTAAGGTGCTACTGGAAGGATTTTTTTTTTGTTTTGACTATGGCAGACCAACACGACTACCCATCTGTTGCTGAAAACAGTCACACAAAATAAAAAAAACCACAGTCAAACTGTGCCTACGAAGTATCTTTTGGTAAAAAAAAGAGAGAAGCTAAATCCTTCATACCAAATATTTATTAAGCAAAATGTTGTCCTACGTACCTCATGATCTTGTAAGCCCTTCTTTAAGCCAAGAGCCCTTTCCAGGGCAGCTGCAACAAACTTCTTCCGTTTCCGTATAACTGTTTGTTCATCCATACATAGTTCATACCCCAAACGCACATCCAGGTTTTTCAGCCTTGCACGTAGGCCAGAGCAGAACAAAGAAAGCATCAGTGCACTGCATCCTCCCCACCCTCCATTTGTTATCATTTTCTTATGAAGAGCCACAGTCTCAACAAAAAACACGTATCCAAAGCAAATGTTTCCATTTCAAGGAAAGCTTCCATTGACCCCTCTTAGAGGCCAATAGCAGCTTCAGGACCTTGGCAGAGGGAGAGTTAAACTTCATTCCCTATATTATCCCCCACAACTAGTACGTTTCCGAGCACAATTCAAAGTGTTGGTGCTGACCTTTAAAGCCCTAAACGGCCTTGGTCCAGTATATCTGAAGGAGCGTCTCCACCCCCATCGTTCTACCCGGACACTGAGGTCCAGCACTGAGGGCCTTCTGGCGGTTCCCTCACTGCGAGAAGCCAAGTTACATCGAATGAGGCAGAGGGCCTTCTCGGTAGTGGCGCCTTCCCTGTGGAACACCCTCCCACCAGATGTCAAAGAGAACAACAACTACCAGGCTTTTAGAAGACATCTGAAGGCAGCCCTGTTTCGGGAAGCTTTTAATGTTTGATGTATTATAGTATTTTAATATTCTTTTGGAAGCCGCCCAGAGTGGCTGGGGAAGCCCAGCCAGATGGGCGGGGTATAAATAATAAATTATTATTATTATTATTATTATTATTATTATTATTATTATTATTATTATTATCATCATTATAGTATTTGCTAGTTTCATGTAAATACTTCATGTACCAAATCTGGCCAAATCCTAGGAGCCCCCCCTCAATGTACTATAATCCTCTAATTATTTAGATATATATTTCAGATAGTATATAGAAGTCAAGTAGGCAGAGTTGGGTAAAATTAACACTATTGTGTTACCATTCTTTCACGTCCACACATAGATCAACTGTTTTGTCCTAGAGAGAGAGAAAAGATGGAATGTTGTCAGTAACCTGCCATAACATGACATACTGTTTGGTAGTATGACATACTGCCTGGTATCCCCAGAGGAAAGCAGGCAGCAGCCACACATCACACATACCTCCATTCAGGGCTAGCAAAATGGGGCCTTGTATTTGATCCTGGAATGTCCCACTTTTACTCAGAACATCCCTATTTTCATCAGAGAAATATTGAAGGGTATGGAGTTATGTAACCCGTAAGCCAAGGAGATAAGCAACTACACAACCTTTAGAAGGCATCTGGAGACAGCCCAGTAAAGGGAAGTTTTTAATGTTTAATATTTTATTATGTTTTTATAAATGTTGGAAGCCACCCAGAGTGGCTGGGGCAACCCAGTCAAATGGGTGGAGTATGGATAGTAGTAGTAGTAGAAATCGCGTCTGCGCATGTCTGCGGCGCCGGAAATTGTGCCTATGCAGGAGCAATTTCCAGCATCTGGGCATATGCAGAAGCGATTTCCGGAGCTGCGGAAGAGAGTTCCTGCGACGCACTGCACCAGTTTAGCGCAGCACACTGGGACTCGCCGAGCATTAGACACAACAGTTTCACAGTCCCTACTCCTGCAATTTGCAACGTCCTTCCATCAGCCAGGTGGATCTCTCCATCTTGAGGTGTGAAGGAGATAATGACTGCCTGCTTCGGTATGCTCAGGCAACAAAAGGCAAGTCTGATGGCCAGGAGCAGGGGGTCAAGCTGCAAAAGCCCCCGCCGGTGGAAAACAAGTTGTTGGGATACTGCCAGGGAGACAAAGTCCATCATAGCCCCCAAGCCGGCTGCCGGACGATCCATCGACCTCCCGTAGACACGCAGTATCAGCAATTAGCGACACGAAGCCTCAGAAATAGATTGCCACATTCTTAGGCTGGTGCACACTCTATCAGCAGAATTCACACAGCGAAAGATGCACAGCAGGAGAGCATATTTACAGTTTATTCAGCGTTGGTCAGAACAAAGAAAAAACATGACCGCCTGTTTCAGCGTTCAGGCACGAAGAGAAACGAAAGCAAAGACACAACAGAAACATCCTGTGAGACAGGAAATACGCAGGCTGTGACACAAACATCCTGCTCCCTTTTAAGGTGGAACGGAAATATCCTAACATCCTCCCCCTTTCCGTGTAACCTGTAGTACCTGTGGTTCAACCCAATTGCAACCTTTGTACATAAACCTTAAGTTGTTCTCTGTTAACAACCTTAGACAACAGATCAGCAGGAATTTCATTTCCTGGCATGTAGGACACCTGAATGAATCCTTTCTGAATACACTCTCTTGCACGATGTAGCTTAATCTGCAAGTACTTGGTTCTTTGCTTGCAACTCTCCGAGTTCAGCACAGCCAAACAAGATCCATTGTCTTGATACACTTGTATAGGACATTTCACAGAAACTCTGATGTCCTTAAACAGTTGCATCAACCATTCACAATCCATGAGTGAAAATGACAGAGCATTGAGTTCTGCTTCACAGGAACTTAGGCTCACTGTCGTCTGCTTCTTGCATAACCAGTCAAACAGGCAGTGGTTGTACATGTAGCATACTCCAGAAGTGCTTGTACCATCCGTGGTGTCACTTCCAAAACTTGCATCTGCAAAGATTTCAAGACCTCCAGTCTTCTGACTGGTGAACCTCAGCCTGTAGTGCAAAGTCCCTTTCAAATAGCGGGCTATGCGCTTCAGAGCTTTCCAATCCTGAACAGTAGGATTGTTAGCATGTCTGCTAAGCAGGTTAGTGCTTACAGCTATGTCAGGTCTTGAACATCTAGCAATGAAATTCAACTTGCCTAGAATGCATCTGTACAGCGTAGTGTCAGAAAACGCTTCAGCAGTACTATCTACCTGGTAACCTGTCACCATCGGTGTGTCTGCTGGGTTTGCATCAACCAAATTCAACCTGGTTAACATCAGCAATTTTCTGTGTTTGGTGTACCAGAAAATTACCTGCTTGGTCCCTCTCCACCTGCAGAGAAAGATAGTTGGATACCTCACCAAGATCCTTCATGTCAAAGTGCTCCTTCAGCTGAGCTAGGGTGCTTTGGTAGAAAGCCTGATTCTTCCAAAACATCAGAAGATCATCAACAAAACATAAACAATACAGTTTGTTTTGCCCCTCCTCCTTGACAAACACACATGGATCAGCTTTGCCCTGGTGAGAACCTAGAGAAAGCAACGTCTCAGTGAGTTTTGTGTTCCAACACCTGGCACTCTGCTTGAGACCATATAAGGATTTCCGCAGCTTACAGACCATTCCCTTCTGTATCTGCATTCCATCAGGTGGAAGCATGTACAGCTCCTCCCCCAAAATCCCGTACAAAAAAGCTGTATTAATGTCATGATGGGAAACATGCAGTTTCTCCTCCGCAGCGATCTTGAGCATCAGCCGAATGCTCTCATATTTGACGGTGGATGAGTAGGTCTCGTGGTAATCCTGCCCTGGTACCTGTGAAAAACCTCTGGCAACCAATCTGGCTTTGTGTCTGACAACCTTGCCATTCTGGTCTGTCTTGGCCTTGAAGACCCATTTGCTGCCAACCAGTCTCATCCCTGGGACTACCGGTACCAGTTCCCAAGTTTGGTTCCTGTTCAAGGAATCAACTTCAGCCTTCATGGCATTAAGCCAAGGCTCAGCATCTTTAGAGGTTAACTCCTGAACCTATTTGAAGCTTGAAGATTCCCACACCTTCTCTGAGCTACTAAGAACAGCAGTTGCCATCTTAGCAACCTCATCAGCAAATCTCTTTGGAGGTCTGCCCTTCGTGGCTCTCTCAGACCTGCGTACTAGACGCAAGTCTTCTGGACTCATCTCCTCTTTCTTAGGAGAAAAGTGACCAATGGTGAACAGTGGTTCTTCCAGTTCATTGTCAGATGCATCAGATGGTCTGACTGAGGCCTTTGCGCTCTTGTAGTCTGCTGTGTCATCACTGTCACCGACATCAGCAGCAGCGCCGCCCACTGAGCTGGAATCCGAACTCTGATCATCATCATCATCATCATCATCCTCAGCTTCCTCAACATTATCTGCTTTCTTCACATCACTTTCATCCTCCTCTGGGTAACTCTGGAAAATTCCCACATTCCCCCCCCCTTAGGATTGTACTCAACACTCCTTGTGAACTTAATGGACTTAGAGTCAGTCATCCATACTCTGTATGCACCTTTTTTGTACCCCATGAACAAACCATGTGCCCCACGCTTCCCAAGCTTGTTGCTTTTGGGGTATGTACCCACATGTCAGAACCAAAGATTCTCATGTGCTTGACGCATGGGTTCTTACCAAACATCTGCTCATAGGGAGTACAACCAATAGGTGATGACAATCTCCGATTAAAAGTATAAACAAAATTCGACAGAGCCTCCCCCCAAAACTTATCAGGCAGATTGGCATCATGCAACAAGGTTTTCATTCCTTGCAGCAACGTTTGATTTGCTCGCTCCGCAAGCCCATTCATCCATGGCGATCTAGGAGTTGACAAGTCATGCTGGATTCCCTTCTCAGTCAGGAAAGCTTCAAACTGCTGAGAAGTGAACTCCCTGCCTCGATCAGTAAACAAACACCCGATACGTTTACCGTGAACATTCTCCAACCAAGCACAGAATGCCTTGAACCTAGGAAACGCTTGCGATTTCTGCTCAAGCATAAACACATGAATGTACCTGGAAAAAGAATCAATTCGAACCATGAAGTACCTTGCTCCTCCCAAAGAGGGCGCAAGTGGACCAACCAGGTCTGCGTGCACTAGCTGGTAGGGTTTGGAAGCCTGCCTGCTAGACTCCTTGCCTTTTGGAGCAACCTTCACCTTGTTCTCTGCACAAGATACACATTTCATGTGAAACTTACAGGGTTTGATGTTCAAACCTTCAACCAACCCAGGCATCTTGGCCAGCGCTTGCCAAGACACGTGACAAAATCTTCGATGTTGATCATGAATACATCCTGCATGAAGAACCTTGTTAGTTTGTGCAACACAATAAGAATCAACATTTGAGACAGCAACAGCATTGTCATCATAAGTTATACAGAATAGGCCATCCATAAACTTTGCATGCAAAATGTCCTCTTTGCATTTTCTGATGACACAGATGCTCCTCTTGAAGGATATCTCAAAGCCATGCCCAGTCAGCTGTGGGACACTAAGCAAATTGTCCGCAGCACCTGGAACAAAAAGTACATCTCTGATGGTAGTGTGGAGACTTGCAAGTTTCACAGTTCCTACTCCTGCAATTTGCAACGTCCTTCCATCAGCCAGGTGGATCTCTCCATCTTGAGGTGTGAAGGAGATAAACAGGTGCTTATCTTTTGACAAATGGCGGCTCGCACCAGAGTCGACGACAAACCTGGCCTTGGCCTTTGGAGCAGGTTTTCTGGCAAGCAAAACCTTGTTTTCCACCAGCTTGGGCTTTTGCAGCTTGCCCCCCTGCTCCTGGCCATCAGACTTGCCTTTAGCCTTTGGTGAAACTGTGCCAGCAAACAAAACCTTGTTTTCCACTGGCGTGGGCTCTTCACCCTCCCTCTGCTTCGGGCCATCTGCAGGCATGTTGCTCTGTTTACCTCTGGCCTTCCGGCCTCTGCAAAGGTGATGACCTTGGTTCTCACAAGAAACAAAGCTCTCAGCTGCCGACTCCTTGGCTCCCCCTGGAGGCTGGAATGCTGCCTGGGATGATCTCACAGTCAGCTCCCCCTGCAGCTTGCAACCGGTGCCCTCGGCATCCCTGCATTCATTCGCATTCTGGGAAACAGCCAGGACCTCCGATGCAGTCAAACTCTGGGCTGGGATGATTGGCAGATGGGCTTTTTTCAAAGCATTCCACATCTTACATGCAGTCGTGTTGCCAGCTAGCGTGGCAATTTCCTCCAGAGAGATGGACAAGACTATTACGTCAATGGCCCTTGAATTCTGGGCCCTCCATTTCTCTGTCAGAGGAACTGGAGGGGCTTCAGACACAGTATGCCACACTCCAAACTGACGCAGCAAACTCTCACACCATTTTGCCCAGGTCTGATAATTGTGCCTATTTAACTTTGGGCACTCAGTGACCTCAGAAGCTTGGAAAAACTCCATTCCAGCTTTTTGCTTTAGCCGTGAGCCTTTATGACTTCAAAGATGTCTTATCTCGGCAGCTCATAAATCACGAAGCCTGCTTGGCTCAGCTCCCAGGCCATTAGTCTTGCCGGACATCAAAGAGACTTTGCCACGGCAAACGAAAAGCCTCACTTTCGCTTTTCCTCCACATACCTCTCAGCAGTCTGTCACAGTCTTACTCTCCTGTAAGTGCCGTGAATCTGGGCCCGAAACCAGTTGTTGGGATACTGCCAGGGAGACAAAGTCCATCATAGCCCCCAAGCCGGCTGCCGGACGATCCATCGACCTCCCGTAGACACGCAGTATCAGCAATTAGCGACACAAAGCCTCAGAAATAGATTGCCACATTCTTAGGCTGGTGCACACTCTATCAGCAGAATTCACACAGTGAAAGATGCACAGCAGGAGAGCATATTTACAGTTTATTCAGCGTTGGTCAGAACAAAGAAAAAACATGACCGCCTGTTTCAGCGTTCAGGCACGAAGAGAAACGAAAGCAAAGACACAACAGAAACATCCTGTGAGACAGGAAATACGCAGGCTGTGACACAAACATCCTGCTCCCTTTTAAGGTGGAACGGAAATATCCTAACACTTAGTTCTGGGGCGACTTGTGGACCAGTTAAATGGCCTCCGCAGGCCGCTTCTGGCTCATGGGCCGCACGTTGCCAACCCCTGATCTAGCCCTTTTAGACAAAATATTGGTGAAGTCCATGAAGCTATATTAGGAGCTGCAGAACAATCCATGCAACTTTTAGAAATCACTGGCGTGTGTGTGTGTGAGAGAGAGGGGGGGGGAGAGGGGGGGAGAGAGCACTCCACCAGAATTTAATCCACAAGTAGCAACAACAACTGGACCTTTAATAGTTGTGTGAATGAGGTTACATAAACACATGCAGTCTGTCATCCAAAGATGAGAAAAGGTTTTCCTCATTGAATCACTTTGTTCTACACAACTCTTAAAGGAGCTAAGTTCTCCATTGACTGCAGCCATCCTAATCACAAGCATGATAGGCAAAATGTATGAATCACTTCTTCAAGTTTGAAAAAGCAGGTGTCATTAGCTGAGAAACTCTTAAGTTGCTGGGCTCCAATTCCTATTTTTTCATCCTGGCAGATGTGAATTGGAGTCCAATTGAATTGAAGTGCCACAGGTTCTCCCTTGCACACTTACTGGTGGTGGTGTGTGAGCTGCTTCCCTTCATTTATTCCCATGGCTTTCTGGCAATGTGTGTGAAGGAATCATACAAATGCAGCAGTGGCACAGTTCCTTTCTGTATCATCATCATCATCATCCTGCCCACATAATTTCTAGCAGGGCCATGTTGGGTGCAATTTCCCCATACCTAAATGTTGCACCTTCTGTGCCCCAGATTTTGTACTTCCAGACACTGAACAATCAACAAATTTGTCCTGCCCATTCCAGTTTCTCTACATTTTTGCGTAGAATTATCCCTACCAACTTCATAAGATCAGAGGTACAGCAGGTACTTTGCACAGAAAAAGTCTCTGGTTCAATCCCTGGCTCTCTAGGTAAGACTGGGAAAGAGCCCAATTCTGGAGAGCTGCTGCCAGTCAGCTTTCCTCACCCTGATGCTCTCCAGATGTTTTGTACTACAATTCCCATTCACCCTGCCTATTGGCTATGCTGGCTGGGGCTGATGGGAGTTGTCCACAACATCTGGATGGGGAATACTAGCACAGACGATGCTGAGCTAGACAGAGCCATGGCTCTGGCTTGGTATGAGGCAGCTTCCTGTGGTATCATGGAATTATAGATTCTATGGTCCTGCTACATTAACTGAAGCCCCTTAACACTGTGATGGATAGAGGGGGGGGTGAAATCCCCAAAAAGGATGTTACTTTTTTCTGTATTCCACAACAGCTGCGAGAAGATTATTAGTGAAGAACTGGAAGAAACAAGATGTACCAACTATTGAAGAATGGCAGATGAAGACGATGGACTATATGGAACTTGCCTAACTGGCTGGGAGACTCTGGGACCAGAGAGAAGAGACGGCGAAAGACGATTGGAAGAAGTTTAAAGAATATTTGAAAAAAATATGTTACTATTTAAATCTTAGAATAGCTTTGGAAGTGGATATAGGCTGTAGGGTTAGAAGTAGAAGATAGTGTATTTTAAAATAGTATGATTTGCAAGGGATAAGATGTGAAGATTTTAAGTAAGTGTGATAAAAAATGGTTAAAAATTATGATATATGTAAACTGCTAAAGATGAGGTAAAATGAAAATCAGATGGGGGGACTTGGGGAAGCTCACTTAAGAATGTTTAGAAAAAATAAGGATAAGACAAGAATTTGTTTGTATTGTTTGTTTTTATAAAATGAATTTTTTTTTGAAAAAAACAAAACACTGATGGATAGTATGTAATTGCTGACTTACTAATCTTCTGCTATTCATCTTCTATTTGTAAATAGAACAACCACTTGGAGGATTTTTTTCCACAATCAAGTGGTGTATGAATTTTGTTAATAAATAAATGAATTCGGCAGCACATATACTAAAATAAATAAATAAATATATTTTCTCCCCGATTTTCCTCTTCCACTATGAAACAATACTTACCTTGCCTATGGTCACTTCTTTTTCCATACTAACTGAATCAAGAGGCAAAGTGAAGCAAAGTCTTTTATTTGCGTCATTACTTTCACCAGGAGTACACTAAAAGAGAAAGAAGAAAAATAAAATTATGCTCACACACTTTCTCCAGACCATATATAAGTCTCGAGAAAGTGTAGCCTCCTCAGTATTTTGATGTAAAATGAAAGCATTTTATACAGTGGACGTAGCTTTACATTGCTTTTTAAATTGAAGAGACAGTTTAAAAACATACAGAGTGTGACTTCTTTGCTGGTTCAATCTCCAGTGCAGAGTCCATATTCTTGATGCAGTGAAGCACAAGATGATCAGCAGGGCACAGCTCAGAGCTCAACGTAAAGTCCTGGCTCTCTTCATAGGATCCTTTCACAGTGAATGTGAAGTTTTGCTCTATAAAGGGCATAAAGAACCCTTTGTCACAACATAGCTTTATTCAGTTCATGAGCATGTATAAATTCCCCTTAAAAAAGCAAACAAAGATTCTAGCAAAAGGGTAGCCAATGTGCTGCCTTCAAAATGTTGCTGGACTACAACTCCCATCTCCTCTGACTGATGGCCATGCTGGATGAGTATTGACGTGAGCTTCAATCCAACATGTGGAGATCCCCATTTTGGTGACTCCTGGTCCAAACTAATCTTACTGGTGTCAGTGCCATTCTCATGTGACCTCACTCTCCCTTCCAGATGTGTAGGTATGTAAAACGTGTTCTCCCTAGCAGAGAGCGCGCGTTGTGGTGGGGGATACAAGCCACCCCATTGTTGCTGGGCGCATTTGTGGAGGGACACAGGCAGTGTATTGGTTAATCGGGTCGCTGGGGAGAACTGCTTGTTGCCAATTTTGAAGGAGGGGTCAGAGGTTTTAAATACTGGTCACCCAACTTTGAGCGTTCTCTTGGCTGCTTGCACCGGATCACCCTCTCACCCTTCCTGTATTGGATGGGTTGTTCGCTTGACCTTGCTATGCCTGTCATGGGGTCATCTGCTTTGAGGCAGGGGCCTGGTAGGAATTTGTCCATTTGGCTGATTGGCTGGTGCCATTTGGTTTTGCAAATCGTCACAACTTGTAAGGTTGGCGGTTAGGCATTGGTTCAGATTGGTTGGTGGAGGAGTAAGTGCCTACCCCTCCAATGGTGGTGCGGAAAGGGAATTCCGTTAAAGGAATCCAGGGGCTTGCCATTCTTTTCATCCTTGTCCCTGGCATCGGACTTGGGCCGTGCAAGCCACCAGGAGCATGAGGGTGAGAAGTGAGGGACTGAGGCCCAGCTTCATTTTCTCCACAAAATTTGTTTCCCGCACTGGCTTTCACTGGAATTCGGAAGTCCAGTTCTGTCCCCTGGGCAAGGACAGATAGTCGGAACCAATGCCTAAGCAACCACTCACTTGGATGTATTTAAATAAAGTTGTGGCCAAAATCGTGCCAAAAACCCAAACCAAAATTGATGTGTGATGTGTGAGTTATTGGGGGGTGGCTTGGGGACCTCGACATGCAACTACCACTAGCCCACCTCCATTTCTAGCTGGAGGAGATTTTGTGATGCCTCTGGTTCAGTGGAGTCTGGTCCATTGTGGAAATTAGGGCACTGCCCCTCTGACTGCAGTCTTGATTCCTCCAAGATCACCTGCCTACCTTCTGACTTAAAACTTTAAGAAGTTTAGATAAATCCATGAAAGAATAAAGAATGGGCTGCTAACCATAATGGCTCTATGTTGGAGGCAGTATGCTTCTGAATATCAGTTGCTGGGAATCACAGGAAGGTCTTGCTTGGAGGCTTCCCATAGGCATCTGGTTGGCCATTTTGAGATCTAGATGGGCCACTGGATTAGGGCAAATGGGGCATTAGGCCCTAACAACCTTAGTCTGCCCTCAGCCAGCCACTACTTGCCTGCCTTCTTACCTACAACTAGTTCAGAGGGTAACACTGCCTGCCAGCTTCTTCCTCAGTCTCAGTTTTACTCTTGTAGAACTCAGGTGGGAGGAGGATGGGGACAAAAGTAAAATTAATGGGCTTTGCCTGTCCTTGGCTCTGGCTCACCTCCTGTTGGCCTCTCTGCCTTCCGCCCTACCACTTCTAATGGCCACCAGTCACCACTGCTCTAGTGGTAGGTTCACAGCTCTACAGTTTGCTGCCACATTTGCTCAGTTTTCTGAAGCTCAGTTCTTGACACTGGTGTGTGTGGGACAAGCGCCAGAACTCTGGGGATCAGGAGCCAACCCGAGAAGATGGGCATGCCAACATCAATCAGAACATTCAATTCCACCATTAATCTTTCACACATATGCTGTTGGCAATGAAATTATGATTTCATAAGATAAATAGTTCTGCTAAGGTGCCAATAAAGATTACTGATATTTTTTTAATCCCACCCTTCAATAAACTTGGGCCTAGAAATGGACTGGGAAATAGTGTGGCTGGTATAGAACAGGCATAATAAGATGAAGTGCTAATTGTAACTGAGCAATATTGCCCAGTTGTATTCCATGCTTTAGTTTAAATGCAGTTTTCAAAGGGAACACCACATTAAATGCATTGAGATCTATAGATTATGATAACCATTCATTTACTTACTATGTAAAATATACTACATCAATATGTCTTAGGGTACACTTGATCATTTAAATCAGCTTTGATTCCCCCCCCCCCCAATTCGGGCTTGCACTTACATTTGTGTTCAAAATAAGTATTATTTGATTAGACACTATAGTGGAAGCAAATTAGCACATCATATTAAAATAGTTTTGACCAAACTGTGGGAGGCAGTGGAAGATAGAAGTGCCTGGCGTGCTCTGGTCCATGGGGTCACGAAGAGTCGGACACGACTAAACGACTAAACAACAACAACATTAAAATAGCAAAATAACCAAAGTGTTTGTTTGCAAAGGTCCAGCAATGAGACTTTTAATGAGTAAGTAAAGGGTTTTAATGATAAAACCTTTGAAACCATTAACTGTAAATCTATTTATATCTATACATAAAGGTACATATTAACCTCCTTGTTTCTTCTTCATTGCTGTCCCTCCATTCACCTGTACACTCAAGCAGGAAATTTCACGAGACTATAAGAAGAGAAAGGGAAATAAAAGAACATAAGGTAAAACCTTAGTGGTCACGACATAGTTGTGATGTAACAGGTCCTTTAGAACAAGCCTGGAATATGCCAGTAAGTTATAGAATAGGGGTTGGCATATGGCCCTCAGTCCATTTCATGGGAGTGTGGGGGAGCCCAAAATGGTGGGCAGAGGGGGAGGGGGGCTGCAACTAGTGGGCCCTGACTGATTACACACTACACGATAGTGTGTCGATGTAGGTGTGTCACACGAACACTCCCCACGCTGCTCCCAGGGCTGGAAAGCGGTTAGTCACCCTTCGGTTTGCTAGTAAAACTGAATTACTGTGTCACAAAATGATGCAAGTCTAAAAAGTGTGTCACCAACATGAAAAGCTTGGAAAGCTCTGGAGAAGGCAGCCCTCTACTGAAAAAAGGTTCGCCACCCCTGTGATCGTGCCAGAGCCGTTTGCCAGTTGTAAATGCATGACATCAACATAAATGTGCATAAACATAGTGACTGCTAAGCCACAAGAGACATACATGATGAACTCATTCAATGGTATTGTGTTGTGAAATGACTTAGTCCTCCTGCCCAAATGTGAAAAGAATTGACCAAGCTTCTAGAAATGATTTTAACCATAAATTACAGCTGCAGTCCTAAGCATAAAAAAGATAAAGGTAAAGGTACCCTTGCTCGTACGGGCCAGTCTTGACAGACTCTAGGGTTGTGCGCTCATCTCACTCTAGAGGCAGGGAGCCGGCGCCGTCTGAAGACACTTCCGGGTCACGTGGCCAGCATGACAAAGCTGCTCTGGTGAGCCAGCACCAGCGCAGCACACGGAAACGCCGTTTACCTTCCCGCTATAAAGCAGTACCTATTTATCTACTTGCACTTTAAGGGTGCTTTTGAACTGCTAGGTGGGCAGGAGCTGGGACCGAACGACGGGAGCTCACCCCGCCGCGGGGATTCGAACCGCCGACCATGCGATCGGCAAGTCCTAGGCACTGAGGTTTTACCCACAGCGCCACCCGCGTCCCTAGTCCTAAGCATACTTACCCCTGAATACAGTGGGGCTTACTTTTGAGTAATTATCATAGGTGCATAATTCTTGGTACACATGCACAGAACCTGGCTGCATAATTTTGACCCAGAGACTCAACACACCAGGGATCCTGCTTCTGTCTCATATAGGCTCATGACTCTCCTTCCTCTCCCCACAGTGACATCTGCTAATATAAAACAGGTAGCAGGACATCATTATGGTGTTCTATCCACAACCCCAGTCAGTTTTATTAGCTACTACTTGTGTGGGCCAAGAGATCAGATACAATGTCATATGTTTTGTAGTAGAAGATGTTACCAAGGAGGAGAGCATGCAGGTATGTGTGCTTCGTAACATCTCATCCCTTTCAGCCAAAGTCTTATATATATGAGAGAGACTCTACTGGTCACTGACCATAATAAACAGATGCTTCAATATATGAATCTACTTTTAATCACCGTATTTAATAAAATTTAATGACTAGAATTTAATAAAATAGAATATCGGTGGTTTTATTACCTTCAAGTGTATATTTGAGATGGTCACGGATATTTTATTATTATTTATTACCCATCCTTCACGCAAAGGTCCCAGGGTTAATCTGATAGTTAGGTACCCCTGACTGTTAGGTCCAGTAGTGAAGAACTCTGGGACTGTGGCACTCATCTCACTTTACTGGCCAAGGGAGCCGGCGTTTGTCCACAGACAGCTTCCGGGGTCATGTGGCCAGCATGACTAAGCCACCTCTGGCGAACCAGAGCAGCGCACAGAAACATCGTTTACCTTCCCACCAGAGCAGTACCTATTTACTTTAACGTGCTTTCAAACTGCTAGGTTGGCAGGAGCAGAGACCGAGCAATGGGAGCTCACCCTGTCGCAGGGATTCGAACCGCCAACCTTCTGATCGGCAAGCCCTAGGCTCTGTGGTTTAACCCAGCATCCCACAATCTGATAGTTATAGGACTTAATTTTCAGATGAATCAGAGACTGGGTTTGCTTCATGAGCATGTACAGAACAGATTTTGAATCCTTTACTATATTGTAGGGTTTACTTTGATCATATATTATTGTTTTTATTCGTGATGATGTGTCATGGTTTCATGATGCTATTTCCCATCTGCAGAAACCACATCGCGCTCTATTTCTTCCCACATGTCTAGCCACTTCCACCTTAGAAAGTGTGCAGATAAGATGGCGTCCGGCACGTTTCTGCTGCGCCACTGCGCTTCTGTGCTGAGCTCACTTTAGCTCACTTAGCATAGACCTAGCAGAGTTCAGCAGCGGGAGAAACTGTTGCCGTGTGTGGGTAATAAATTCAGACTGACAGCAGGCTTCTTGCTAATCTCCAACAGTCTTTTAATGAGAAGAAAAACATCATAAATCAGCCCGGCAAGAGAGCAGACATCCTTTCGTCTCTCAGCCAAAAACAAAAGAGAACTCACACACAGAGAAAGATTCCCGTATGTGAACATAACCACGCCTCAGAATGTGAGACGTCACACAGAACTGTTTAACCCTGTAAGTTCTGATTCTCCTCACAGTAAGTTGTGTGGAGGAGGGAATTTCTGCAGGCGTAACTTGCATGCCTTTCTGAAATCTCCTCTTTCACACTACTATTACATATGTAGGAGCTCTATTCTCTTTTACAGGGCCGGAATTAGGTTTAATGAGGTCCTAAGCTACTGAAGGTAATATGTCCATCTGTCCTTTGTCAACAACAAATTGTCGCTGTGTTTTGTGTTGAATATATGCTATATGGTAATTTATGGACCTAATAAGTATCTAAAGCCATTTGCCCATGTTGCCATGCAATCAGTCCATATATAGAAATCAGCAAACCAGTGATATTTTAGGGAGCGGGCTAGGAGGCGGGGCCCATGACTTACATCATAGGAGCCTACACAACGCAAAACACTGTGCTGTATGTAGCTTTTATTTTATTTGTTCTTATATTTTGGAAATGTACATCCAGTATTTTTTTTCCCTTTAATTTTTTGGGGGCCCCCAAAAGAGTGGGGCCCTAATCTATAGCTTGTTTAGTTTGTACGTAAATCCGGCACTGCTCTTTTGCATCTGATTCCCTACTCCCATCCCACAGATTATTAGCTTCAGTGAAGGGTGGGTAATTAATCTAACCATTATCATCACGCTGGTTGTTTAAAACTATTCATTGATTATTTCATTCATTTTCATATACCGCCCTTCATTGAAAGAACTTGGGGCGGTTCACCGAAGTTACATCTTTCGTAACTGTCCTGTGTTACATCAAAGTGGGAGTTTCACTGAGGGGCGCATGCTTTAGACCTCGTTTAGAATTCAGCCTGTGCGCCATGCACCCAACATATTGCTGCCCTTGCTAATTTTCCAGGCTGCTGATTGGACTATCTCCGTAGAAATAAGTGGCCACATAGCTTGCAGGTTTCTAATGTGCCATGTTCACTGAATATTCTTTTAAAATAAAATCTCTGTAAGGAACACTTTGCCTCCCCACACTAGCCTTCTGACCCAGAAATCCCACCCCCACCCCACCCTGAAATGTGTGGCCGAATGATATTAGAAGCAAGAACTTTTGGAACTGCAGCAAGATGCCACAATCATATACCCATAACAGATATGATTTAAATATCACTTTTGTAAAAAGAGAATTCATTAAAAAAAAATGAGATTACCACTAATACGCCATTAGTAACAATATGCTCAGGAGGAACTGGGCTGCAAAACAAAATAAATATATTTGACATGTCATATCTGGTCTTTGGTAATGAAAATTTACGTTTCTAGTTGCTAGTTTGACATTCCATGTTAATGTAATTGACTCAACATAGCCCAGATCATGTAATCTAATTACAACAAGACTAGAAAAAAATACATTTATCTGATAGTTACCCTTTGGCAATGCTTTGCCAGATCACAAGAAACTTGAGCTCCAGGTCCAGGTCCATCTGATTTGATATGCAACACAGTTCCAAAGTTTATTTTCTAGTGTTGTATATTCTTAAATATATTGCATTGTTTGGGATGTACTTACATGCTCTCCCGGCTAAACTCTACCTCCAGAGTTTCTGGAATCTGTAAAAGGATAATTACATTGTTTTGGTTTGAGATAATGTTTTCCTCAACTGTGAACAGAAAGAAAAGGTCCATGTGCAAGTATGATAAATCCCATTGCTGAATGGATCAATTGGGAAGGGTGGACAAACCTCTCCATTTCAGTTTCTCTCTGTTTCACATTTCAGTTCATCTCATTTCCACATCAGTTTCCACATCATACACATTTGTTTGCATTTCTCCTGATATACACATTTTTACAAGCAATTTCCCATAACATAATGCCTTTTTTCTTTGTTAAATATTCTCATATGCCCTTTCCCCTACTATACTATATGCTTTTTATGCACGGTGATTCCACCTGTTAATAATGCCCTCCCAGCAGCCTTCGGTTCTACCTTCTTACTTTTGGATCCAAAGGAAATGTGAGGCAAACTCTTTCTCCAAGCTGGATCTTGGAAACATCAAAGAGAACAGTGCAGAGATTCTTATCCATGAGGCAGTGGTCTTCATCGTGAACCATCATCTCCAAAACATTCTGAGAAGGGAAGCAAAGTTAGTCATTGTCAGGGATAGAACTCAAGAGGGCGAGATGGAGGAGGAGGCTGGTGGGGAACACACCCACCCTTCTCCTGATGCTGCAGAAGAAGAGGGAGGCAGCCTTGATTTACAGCAGGGCTTTGAGGAGTCTGAGGAAGGTCACAGTGCAGAGATAGACAAACAAAGGAGTTGGAACATGTTAGAAGAAGAGGGGGGAATTGCGACAGGGCAGCCAGCTGACCCATTGTCACTGGAGAGTATTTCTGATCCCCTTTCTCCCAGAACTCGGTGTTCATTAAGGGTGTAGGAACAACGGAATCAGAGACTTTTGGCTACAAACAGCTACCGTAAGGGGGGCTGCTGTTGTTAGAAATGTGGGAGGAGGAGCCCAGTTTGAAGCAATGCCATGTTAAGGCGTGTTGCGTTCTTTTGTCTCTTAGGATTGAATAAAACTAATTAAAAGGGACTCTCCTTGTTTTCTATGCTCTTGCTGCAGCCAGGAGAGGAATAGCTTTCCCAGAGCCTTGACAGTCATCAAGGCTTGCTTCTGGACCACAAAGCCCAAACAACTAGAAAAAAGAATGGGTCAGCCCATTCTTTCCATACATTTCCAAAGGAAGACAGAAAAGGCACCGGAAGGTATGTGGACATGAAAGAGAGAAAACTGGCATAAACTATCTTCTAAATCTGAATCAGTTACTTCATCTTACTCGAACAATGGCTTACATCTTGAAGTAACATATAGCTGCAGTAGTACCCAGTGTATACTAACACAGCAACAGTTGAAACAACAGTGTGTCTTGTGGCAACTTGAAAGTCTAAGAGCACAATCCTAACCCTAGATCTGCTGGGATGTGGTGAATTTCCAGCTCAGGGAACAAGTTCCTGGCTCTGCCAGAGATACACTGGTATAGGGCCCAACCCTGGCTCAGCTAGGGTAGGTTAGGTGAGCTAAGGTGCCAGCATAAGCCCTGAAAAAAGAGCATTTGGGACATTCTATTCCACCTGTCATGACTAATAGCTGCTAATAGATTTAAGGTTAATAACTAACAACCATCTCATCCTATGTATCCAGATTTAATGATTTTGGTGGGTCCTTTATAGGTAACAACTTGGCAAAACAGTATTCTAAATATGGCTGAGGAGTTCAGACAAATTATTAGTCATTGACTTTGTGCCTTACTTTGACCCGCGTCTGTATCCTGAAGTAGAAGGTTTCATTCCATACTGGATCCTTACAGTCCTTAATAGTCTTGGTCTGAGGTCTTTCAAATGAAGCTGTTGGCAGGTACAAGCTCACATAGCCATCAGTCTGGCTAACTGTTTTAAAAAGAGTCAATTTAAGATGCATTGTTAGGCCACATTAAATCCTTAAACTTTAATGTTTATCATTGTCATGATCACACAGTGTTTACAAGAGAATACATGGAAACCAAGTCACTTCTTCATTGTATCCCTTCTCTGTGCTCATCCGTTTTAATTTTTATATCATAAAAATCTATTATATTGCATAAGCACTGTGAAAGAATTGGACTTCATTGTCCCTGGTTACTTGTATGCACTGTTGCATATTATATGTGGAAATACATATTTCACTTGTATGGGTGGTTGTATATCATAGGGTCATGCTGTAGCCTTATTAGACTTTACCGATTGGTTGGGTGAGCGTTGCTCCCAGATGGGAGGAAGGAAGTCAAATGACACCGAGGTTTGGTTCAGAGAAAGAGTTTATTCTGCTCTCCAGATAGCAGAAGGCACTGCGTGAATCGGTTCACAGCAAGCACATTTAAAGAGCGGTTACACACAGCTTATATAACCTTTCTGGTCCCTGAGGAGTATTATTGGAAGTATTGCAAAAATGGAGAAGGGGAAGGATGATTTGTTAAGAGATGTAAAGGCAATATAAAGTTAAGAAATGCATAATTGCGTGGCAAGTTTCCTCCCCCAATGAAATGAAGACTCAGACACATTGTTTTAAGGTTAATGGGCGTAAAAGGCCACAACTTTATTGATTACGGAATTGAAGGTATTGGCCTTAGGCATTGGCTTCTATCGACTACCCGGCATGGTGACCGGGAGGGGTTGAACACAAACCGTGGGAGTCCTGTTGAAGTACGCCAACTAGGATCCCACGGGTGTCACCGCTCGGGGGCGTGCCGGCGGCCCTACCTCTCCAGGCTTCGGACAAGGCCACGCCCCCCCTGGGAGTCCTCTACCGGACTACCCCTTCTCCTTGGGGGAAGGTGATGGCGCTCCCTTCCCCCCTCCTTTTCCCCTAAAATTGCCCCATGCCAATGCCTAACCGCCAATACCGCGAAAGTTGTGACGGTTGCTACGAGGTAGGCGAAAAAACCAAAAGGCAGGAAGTGTGCCAACTTGGAAAAATTCCTACCAGGCCCCTTGCGGCGACCAACCGGAGTCCATAGCAAAGTCAATTCTAGCTAATCTAAGGGTGGGTGGGATGGGGAAAAACCGCTCAGCTGCTGGGCGAGGGGGAAAAGAGGGCGGTCCCTGGGCGTGCCTGGCCTTAAATAGCCCAGGCCGCGCCTCCCCTCGCCCGCTGATTGGCGGGCTGGGTTGCAGGCACGCCCAGGGATTCCCCAGCTCTCGCGGGGGCAAGGGAAGCCCCCGCGAATGTGGGAGGGTCCTGCCCGTAACACCCTCTCCTCTGCAGGCTCGGAAAGGGCTGAAGTGGTTAAAACGGTGGATCATCAGAGGTGCTGATGGAAGTCTAAAAAAGATTGTATAAGTGATAAGTTTTATGGTACATTTTATAATTTATATGTTAAAATCAATTACACACACACACACACACACACACACACACACTCTCTTTCTGGTCCCCTTGCCCCCTCCCCAGGAATCCAGCCACGTCAGCTTATACACATAAGTTGACATCCTCTAGCCACGTCAGCTTATACACGTAAGTTGACATCCATGACCATAAACAGATGTTCCTGTTCCTGTACTCTTGACCATAAAAGGATGTTCCTGTTCCTGTACTCTTGACCATAAAAGGATGTTCCTGTTCCTGTACTCTTGACCATAAAAGGATGCTCCTGTTCCTGTATTCCTTATCTTGGGGTAAGAAGGTCACCAACTCTAAGAGCACTCCTGGCATCATTCCCGAGCGCGGGGGTGTCATGCAAGGTCTGTGCGTCACACAAGATAAGATAAGCCCCAGCTCTGCCATCCTGTCTCCACTTCAGAAATGGCAAGGCCATTCATTAAGCGTCCCGTACAGATAAAGGAGAGAGCTTTGTTTATACAGCTGGGTTCTTGGCTCAAGTGCTCAAGTTAATGCATTTTAGCTAATGGAGAAGGAAAAATGGGGATTTTGGGTCCCGTCAGTCAGATTTTAGATTTGGGAAACCCATTCCTACAATGCATATTTTTTCTGTCTTACATATCTGTAATGGGTTTAGGGGTTGCTCGTGCGTAAGTTGGTGCCACTCCTGGCTAGGTTACCTAGCTGAACCCTTTCTGACTCAACAGACTCCAGCATCGTGACTGTCTCAGTCACTGGAGGAATCCGTCAGTAGGCGTTTCTTGAACCTTTTCCAGCATAAAAGTTCTTTGACGCCAAGTCTCCTCCTACTCTCCCTGCGCGGAAGTCTTCTGCGCAGGGAGGGTGTGGGCAGCGGAGTACCCGTACTCTCTCCGCTGGTCTCCGGCGAGGAGTCTTGGAGCCTCCTCTCCGATTCCCCCATCTGCCCCCCTTCTCCACTGGTGTTACGCTGATTTCCTTCCCCAGCAGATGGGCTGCCTCTCTCCCTACTGGGACCCTCTCCGGCATCCCTCTGGAGCCTTCCCTCCGCCTCTAGCTCCGATGGCAGTTCCCTGACAATATCTTTCTTGTTGTCCATTGGGGGTTATAGAGTTATCCTGGAAGCCTAGCAAATAACCTGTGGCTCAAAAGTCAAGGCAGTTAAACTCCATTGTAGATGTGGGAAAGGTCATGTCTCCTGTTTGAAGGATTCCATGACTTCCTGTATCCTTTTAGGTGGAGGCTCTGACTGGCAAGAAGAGGAGGAAAAAGAGTCACAGCACCCTGTGGTTTGCTGCAGTTCATCCTTGTAATGCTAAATCATAGTTTGACATTACATAATCAGCTGGACCAATAAGCATGTAGGACCGTACTGATGTAGCCTTGCGGATTCAGTATATGTGAGTTGTCTCTATTTTTTACCCACCCATACGCTACTCCAGTCACATGTCAAAGTTATATAACACTTATTTCATCTACAAACAGTGGAAGCTTTAGGAATAGCAAAAAGGATCCCACAGTAATATTTTCAGTCAATTTGGTATGTCAGTGGCACAGAGCCATAGATACACAGCACCCAAAAAGCTTATTTGCTAGTGCTGTGGCAGATTGCATCAGATTCTTTGAGGAGCTTAGAAAACAGGCAAGAAGTGAAGAGTTATTTTGTAGTTAATTAGCAAATTATTCATAAATAATCGCTTGCCACTTTTCAAAGTGCCTGAAGAAAATAATATAGTTATTATAGGACAGGGTGGCTCTGTTGTTGTTGTTGGTTATGCAACCCATCTGACAAAGTCTAATGAATGGACAATCTACAACATTCCTTCCTGATAGCGTTTTTCCCCCTTGCCGCTTTTGACATCACAAGTCAGAGCTAAGTCAGTAGGACATATATAGGATATGAAAACCATGTTTTGTTCCCGTTGTCCTATTTCTCTCAGAGGCAGGGGAAATTCATATTAAGAAGAAATGATGACTAAGCACAATATGTTTGTTTCCTTATGATGGAACATCTTCCTTGGCGTGTTTTTGTTTTGTTTTAGAAAGCTATCATAAATCACCCATTTAACAGTTCTCCACAGGCTTAAACTAATTAAGCATTTCAGACCAAACCACATTATATTTTGAGGTTATAATGCATTGTTATTATTAAAGGAATCAACACATTCTTATCATTAGAGGTTGCCCCACTTTTAGAGTTACAAGTTCCTTAGCACAAGAGTAATAGTGCTTGAAGATAGAAAAAATGAATTCCCTTTGTACAGGAAAGCAGTTTTTTTAAGAGATCAAAGAAGCCTCTTAAGCAGCCTGGCACCTTCATTATAAACCTTGTGGCGTAAGGCAAAAACATTCCTCTTTAACCAAGCCTTTGGTGAATTGCCCTTTTAATATATGATGGATATATGATGGATGCAAACATCAATTAATATATGATGGATGCAAACTATGAGCAAACATGCAAGGCAATATAGAAACACCTGCTCTCAGCTAATTGCACATAGCAGGGGTAACTAACAGGTGTCCCTTCTGATGTTGTTGTTGTTTAGTCGTTTAGTTGTGTCCGACTCTTCAGGACCCCATGGACCAGAGCACGCCAGGCACTCCTGTCTTCCACTGCCTCCCGCAGTTTGGTCAGACTCATGCTGGTAGCTTCGAGAACACTGTCCAACCATCTCGTCTTCTGTCGTCCCCTTCTCCTTGTGCCCTCCATCAGGGTCTTTTCCAAGGAGTCTTCTCTTCTCATGAGGTGGCCAAAGTATTGGAGCCTCAGCTTCAGGATCTGTCCTTCCAGTGAGCACTCAGGGCTGATTTCCTTAAGAATGGATGCGTTTGATCTTCTTGCAGTCCATGGGACTCTCAAGAGTCTCCTCCAGCACCATAATTCAAAAACATCAATTCTTCAGCGATCAGCCTTCTTTATGGTCCAGCTCTCACTTCCATACATCACTACTGGAAAAACCATAGCTTTAACTATAAGGACCTTTGCTAGCAAGGTGATGTCTCTGCTTTTTAAGATGTTGTCTAGGTTGCTGAACTACAACTCCTATAATCCATGATTATTGGCCATGCTGACTGATGCTGATGGGAATTGTAGACCAGCAACAACCGGCGGGGGGCAGGGGGGGGAGGTTAGCCACCTCTGCCATATAGTCTCTTGGACTATATATAGTAGAGTTTACCAGTGGCACAGAAAGGAGAACCGTCCTTTTCAGACATTCCATGAACATTTAAGAAGGAAGAGAGTGGGATTTCATGCATATGCAAACTGCTCCTGTGCATACAAATTTATGCATAGTGGCATGTTAGTCCATTTGATGGTCATGTAGAAGTGTAGCACAAGGTATTTGACAAGATTTCTACGTGGAAGTCAAGTCTTGCTCCAGAACTGCCAGCTCCTGCTCCTTCCCAAAGCCTAATTAGAGCTTTTCCAGCTTTGGGAAGGAGAAAGAAGAGCTCTAGGACTCGTGTCTCCTTCCCAAAGCTTGACACCTCGTTTATGCAGCTTTGGGAAGCATGGGGGGGTGGGACGGCATCCAATTTTGGCCTTGCTCTC